TTTGTATGGGCCATTAATAATAATTGGTTTAACGTTAACATAGTCGTGATATTCATATTGTCAGTTCAATGTTATGATTACTAAACAGTTCCCTTATAAGTTGTGTTTAAAATGAGGTATGTGGAATCAATGCGGCTAACATAGTAACCTTACAGTAACGCACTGTACTACATCTTCACGGTTATTGATTCTTAAATGTCAGAAATTTAAAAAAAATCTGAATATTGCCAATAAAGATGGGTTATATGATCACACTAAAAAGCATGCTGCAGGAAAACTGGTTAAGTCATTACGTAAGTTTCCTAAACATGAAAAAAAATGATGAGGACTTTAATAAGTACTTGACCATGGTTTAATCCAAAATGTTTTGTCTAGAAAACTACTTATTAATAGTAGTATTAAGCGTATCAGGCTACTAAACATATCCTCAACCGAAAACTTTTGGAAGTAGTTCATATGGTTTATATGTATAGCCAGTCTACGTGAAGAATATATATAAATATATAAGAAGTACAGCCAACATAGTTAATTAACCAGAAAAAGAAATTATAAAACTCGCCTGGGTTGCTTTTTGAATTTGTTGTATTTGCCAATGTTAGTTGTATGAGTTTAATTAAAATCCTCAGCCATCGTTTCGGAATACCTAGCTTATGTGTCCAGTATTTAAAAAAATATTTAACATAACACTTATATATCAAAGGTAAAAGGTCTAGGGAGTTGTCGGTGAGACGGAATGAGGAAAAAAATTATTTTTAAGTAGATGCAGGGTCTGATTAGCTACGTGGTCAGATTTTATCCTGCAGCCGAAACTGTCAACATCCTTGACTGACTAATTGGATGTGCCCAGCGAACCGTCTTAGTCATTTGTAAAGATTTATCATCTTTACATTTTGATTCCGTGATGGATTTGTCTAACAACACGTAAGGTGGTTCATGATCTAGATAAGCCGGCTTTAGCCTATCAATACTTACTGTGTCGATGTTTCCATGTTTTTCTATCACGAAATATTTAGATTTTCTTGAGACAACTTTGAAAGGACCTTCAAATGGAGGACTGAGTGGTGCTTCTATTTTGTCACATCTTATCCAGACGTGCGTGCAATTGCTTAGGTCTTTAGGTATATATACGGCGCGCGATTGTTCACGAGTATTCATCGGCTTAAGTTTAGACATGTGGTCCCGTAGTTGATCTACATAATTTTCTAAATTAAGTTTTTCACTGTTAGTAGTAGGGTTATTAAATTCACCTGGTAGTCTCAGAGTTGTTCCGAAAACCAGTTCCGCAGCTGAACACTGTGCGTCAGTTTTGACAGATGTTCGTATTCTCAACATAACTAATGGTAGGAATTCTGTCCACTGATTGGAGTTTGAGTGAGATATAAGGGCGGTTTTTAGCTGACGGTGAAAACGTTCTACCATCCCATTAGCCTGAGGATGATATGCAGTGCAGCGTATCCTATTGGAGCCTAGAAGTTTAGCCAAGTCATTAAATAGTTCGGATTCGAATTGCGCTCCTCTATCAGTCGTTATTGTTATGGGTGTACCAAAAATGGTTACCCAGTTCTGCATGAAGACTTTGGCTACTGTTTCCGCTGTGATGTCCGCTATCGGGATGGCTATAGGGAATCTGGTAAATCGATCTATGCATGTAAAAAGATAATTAAAACCGTTTGAACGTGGTAAAGGACCTACCAAGTCGATATGCACATGGGCAAAACGTGCATCTGGTTGCGAGAAAACACCTATGGGTGAATTTGTGTGACGATTAATCTTTGATTGTTGACATGCTGAACACTCTCTAACCCATTTGTGTACATCCTTCTGTAAATTCGGCCATATATATCTGGCATTGATTAGTTTTGTTGAAGCTTTCGCGCCAGGATGAGACAAAGAATGAAAGTTATTATATATCAACTTTCGCATATTTTTGGGAACGAAAGGTCGCAGCATTGCCTTGGTCGTGTCACAATAAATTAGAATACCATCGATAGGTGATGTGAATTGTTTTAAATTAAGACTTGAATTGTTTGTTTTAATCAGGTTTTGTAATTCTAGATCCTGCTCTTGTTCGTTTCTCAACGTTTTGAGGTTTACTGTGGACTGTTGTAGCACGTTCATTTCTAGCCTAGATAAAGCATCGCTTGTGAACTGTGATATATAGTCAAGGTGTCGGACTTCTCGAGGTGAGTATTTATCAGCTCTCGCTTTTAGTGCATTCGTTAGTGGCTTGTGATCCGTAAAGACTATAAATTCCCTGCCTTCTAACATGTGTCGGAAGTGTTTAGTGGTTAGGTAGATTGCAAGAAGTTCTCGCCCGAAGGTAGAATACCTTGTTTCGGCTGGAGCGAGTCTTTTCGAGAAGAAAGCAATTGGTTTCCAGGCGTTTTTAACCAGTTAGTTAAGGGTACCGCCTACTGCTTTATCTGAAGCATCCACCATCAAAGCAAGTGGGGAAAGAGAACTCGGATATATCAACGTAGTTGCTTGAGCCAGTTTATCTTTAAGCTGTTTAATAGCTTCGATGGCGTCAGAAGACAGTTTGAATTCTTTTGGTTTTCCTTTAAGTGAATCTGTCAAAGGTTGCATTAATTCCGCACAACCTGGTATGAATCTGCGATAAAAGTTAATTAGGCCTAGAAAACTTCTCACTTGTGTTAGAGAACTAGGTAAGGGGTATTGTTTGATGGTATCCACTTCTTTTTTGATAGGTTTAATCCCTTCTGGGCTTAATATGTGACCGAGAAATTCTAAAGTTTGAACACCGAAAACACACTTACTTTGATGTATGTTTATTCCATGTTCATCCAGTCTTTTCAACACTGCTTGTACATGCTGTTCGTGTGATTGCAAATCAGGGCTGGCAATTAACAAGTCGTCTATATACCCCTGCGCAAATGGCGTATCTCGAAGTAGGTTATCTATGAATCTTTGAAATGTCTGTGCCGCATTTCTCAGGCCGAATGGCATGCGTACAAACTCGAATAAGCCAAAGGGTGTAGTAATAGCTGTCTTGGGAATATCTTCATCAGCCACTGGGATATTGTGATATGCCCTGACTAAATCAATTTTAGTGAATATGTTCATACCCTGTAAACCGTTGGTGAAATCTTGGATATGAGGTATTGGGTACCTATCTGGTACGGTTTGACGGTTTAGGGCTCTGTAATCCCCGCACGGTCGCCAGTCACCTTCATTCTTCTTTGGGACCATATGCAAAGGGGATGCCCATTGACTATCAGAGGGACGGATAATACCCAATTGTGGCATATAATCAAACTCGGCCCTAGCGATTTTGAGCTTATCTGGTGCTAGTCTCCTGGGTTTTGCAAAAACCGGTGCACCTTCGGTTTTGATAGTGTGACTCACTTTTAGTTTGTCTTTAGAAGGCTGTGGGTTTGGTTTAGTTAAGTTCGGAAATTCCGCGAGTATATCTTGGAATTTCGCTGTTGTTACTGGGGGAGTTTGAATCAAGTTAAGAGAGCTGATGTGACTTTTTTTGCCTTTTGTGTAATACGAAGTTTCTTTTAGTGTTAATCGCCGTTTCTTGGTGTCAACTAGAAATTCGTATCTCTCTAGAAAGTCCATCCCCAGTATTGCCAGATCTAAGTCGGCTACTGTGAAAACCCAAGGGAATTGCCTCCTGAACCCCAAATCTAGGGTTAAAGTTTTCTGCCCAAATGTCGCGATTTTAGTTTTATTTGCAGCTTGAAGTGTAATTGGGGGCGTTTCTCGACTAATCTCAGTTTTATTTTGAGGGATGATGCTAGGAGCAGCGCCAGTATCCACCAAGAAATTCAAGCCCGAGTTTCTGTCTCTAACATAAAACAAGCGACTGTTTAGGCGCCCCTCCTCAGTCGTCGCGACCTGGGGAGGGGTTACTCGTTTCCCGCTGTCTTAGAATTATGCTTAGGCCAGGCGCATGGTTGCATGCACTTGGTTGAGTTGACACCAAACGTCCAGTGGTACCAACAAAACTGCCCAGATTGTCTAGACATTTGTGACCTGTTTTGTGACTTGGATCGTGGTCGTTGTGGTGACCTGCTCCTGTTTCTATGACCCATTTGCATTCTGGTGACAGCCTCAGTGAGACTCTTAACACTCGCAATGAGTCCTTCTATTACGGGGTCTTTTGCTGATTCTACTTTTTGTGTGTGATTTATTGTGCCTGATCCAGTTGGAGGACCTCTTTCCATTATTCTGTCGGCTATACGCGCTAAATGAGATAATGAGGTTTCAGGATCCTGCGCATCCGAACAGTGTTGAACGTAGCATGGGAGAGCTTGTATCCATCCTTGTTTTAGGACTGCTTCACCCACTGTGTTATCACCCACTAAGACGTAAAAACTGTGACGGCGACCGATCACCTAGTGTTTCACCTTGAAAAAGTCTTTGGATTCTTTGACTATCTGATAATGATAAACGGTTCATTATCTCTCGTCTTAAGATGGTGTATGGTTGTGGTGATGGTGGACTTAAAATCAAGTCACGGACTTCTTTGGTGACTGAAGGAGGAAGGATAGAACACAAGTCTCTATAGCGAATCTCTTCAGATTTGATATTGTGTCTCGTGAAATAATGCTCTAGTTGAGCAAACCACAACTCAGGATCACTACGATCAAATTCTGGAAGTCGGGATTTCGTAGTCATAACAGTGTCTATCTCCACTGGTGACAAATCCTCCAGATTATGGGTTTCTATTGAGTCTGACATGAGGTATGTGACAAATATAGCAATAAAGTTAGCACAAAAAGTGGTTACTATAACACGAATAACTTAAGATAATACGGAATAAACTAGTTATAAACTCAAATTAGTTTACGGATAATCAGGTCTACTTTTACGATTAGGTAAAAAAAATGTTAATAACAGAAATGAGGTTAAATTTGTGTTCAAAAAGGGCTCACCAATTTCGTGCCTTAAAGTAACCCTCGTGCTATTGATAGAAGAAACCAGAGAAGTAGTGAATAGGTCTTTATTTCGATCTTCGCGCAGTCTATTGAGGCGGCAGCTAACCAATATGTTAAGGATAATGTCCTTAATATCTGACTCCAAATAATAATATTCCGTAACTGAGTATTTAAGGTAGGCTTAATCTCCTAGTAGAATTATGGATTTACTCGAGATTATTAAGAAGCCTGAACACCAGTTATGGAGATAGTTTATTATTAATGAATAATGATAATCCACAAGCGTATTGTGAGCAAGCACACGATGGGAACAGAGAGAGAGTGAGTGAGTTTGTTAAAAATCCATATATATTTGAGGGTTAATCGGGTGTAGATAAATTATCGATTATCTGCACGTTGAAACCAATAGGAAAATAGTTTAAAAGTTAATGTACAGACACGCATTCGATCAAACACACCGAAATTAACATAGTGAATTAAGAGTCTAAGTTACAATGAATAGACAGATGATACAGTGGCCAAATGGGCTTGCCACATAAGCTCCCATCCAGAACATTGATGTTTTTATGTACCAAAAAAAATAAAATTGGATTAACATCTATGTTCGACAAAGAGATAAAGAACGGAACTGTTTTTAAAATAAAAGTACAACTCAATATGATGAGTAAGCGTAAAATTGTAATAACAGCTTGTGTGTTGAAACGTTTCATATCATGTATATACAAGTGTATATTTAACATTAATGAATTGTATAAAGTTAAAATGTAAGCATAATGATGATCCGTGGGGCCAATAAAAAAAAATAGTAATCAAAATAAAATAGGATTTTTATGTGTTATAAGAGTAGTCTCCGGATTTGGTCTAGATAAATATGGTGGTTGCTACATACCTATCTGGCCAATGTACTCTTCTTCCTGATCTTGTTGTAGTTTGTGCTGCTGCTGAACTTTGATTTGAAGTGTTGCTTGTTGCAGGTAGTTTGAATGGTGCTTGCTCTGCTGCAGGTTTAGACGGTTTTACAGTTGTCTGTTTTTCAGTGTTCTCTAAAAATGCTGGTTTTACTCTATCGATGCTAACTGTATCATGTTTACCTGCTCTTTCCACTGTAACCGTTTTAGCTTGATAGTCTATATCAGGGATCGAGAAGGTATTGATATTTAATCTCGATAGTGCATCTGCTGCCTCATTTGCATTGCCTTTAATATAGCGTATATCAGCTGCAAATTGTGAAATGAATTCTAGTTGACGAATTTCGCGCGGACTATATTTATCATGATTGTGCATCAAGGACTTAGTTAGGGGTTTGTGATCAGTATATATCGTGAAAGAATTGCCTTCTAACATGTAGCGAAAGTGTTTGATAGCTAAGTAGATAGCCAACAGTTCTCTACCGAATGTGCTATATTTCGTTTGCGTTGCGTTTAGCTTTTTTGAGAAAAATGCAAGGGGTTGCCATTGTTCATTGACACGTTGCTGAAGTACAGCACCTACTGCTACGTTAGAAGCGTCGGTCATTATTGCTAAAGGTGCATCAACCTTTCGTCGTGCGAGTAATGCCTCTGTGCTTAAAGCGCTTTTCAACTGATCAAATGCTTGAATTGCTTGCGGTGTCATTGCTAATGATTTAGCTCGTCCCCTTAATAAATCAGTTAGTGGTTTTGCTAAGTCTGCACATTTAGGGATAAAACGTCTGTAAAAGTTTATCATCCCAAGGAAACGTCGTAGTTTCTTGAATGAATCAGGCAAAGGATAATTTTTGATAGCTTGTGTTTCCTCAGGAACTGGTTTAATGCCTTGCTTATCAAGTACGTGACCTAAAAAGGTGAGGGATTGTTTTCCGAACTCACATTTGTCAGGATTGACCGCTAACCCATACTCGTTTAGCTTCTCAAAAAGCATTTTCAGATGAGTTAGATGTTCATTTTCATCTTTGCTTGCTATAAGTAGGTCATCTATGTAAGCATACACAAACGGTAAGCCCCGTACCACTTGGTCAATAAAACGCTGGAAACTTTGTGCAGCATTCCTTAATCCGAAAGGCATGCGGACGAATTCGTATAGTCCAAAGGGGGTAGTAATGGCTGTTTTAGGAACATCGTCTGGATGAATTGGAATGTGATGGTAAGCACGGACGAGATCAATTTTTGAAAAGATCGACACGTCAGACAGGCTATGAGTGAAGTCATGCAGATGTGGGAGAGGATATCTATCTGGTATGGTCCGGCTGTTGAGAGCTCTATAGTCACCGCACGGTCTAACTTCGGAAGAGTTTTTCTTAGGTACCATATGAAGCGGTGATGCCCACGGACTATCGGAGGGGCGTATGATGCCCAACTCAATCATTTTGTTGAATTCGTTCTTTGCGATAGCCAGACGAGAGGGATCAAGGCGTCTTGGACGTGCGAACACAGGTGGACCCTCTGTCTTTATGTGGTGTACGACGGTATGCGTCGGTTTGTCGTGTTTGAAACTCGGTCGTAATAAATCTGGAAACTGATTAAGTAAATTGACGTATTTGTCGTTCTCATGATGAGGTTTAACTAATAAATGTATGGAAGTCTCATTTGATATAATTCCTCTAATTTCCTTACTCTGTTCGGCAAGGACAAGTTTCCTATTTCTGACATCTACCAGTATTTTGTGGAATTGCAGAAAATCAATGCCGATTATAGGAACGAGGACGTCCGCTATGATGAAACTCCAGGAAAAATTAGATTTAGGACCGAAATTTAATTGCAACCGCCTTTTGCCGTACGTCTTGATGTCAGACCTGTTTGCTGCTTGTAGTTTTAGTTTGGGGTCAGGTGTGTTTTTCTCGAGTGCAGTAGGTGGTACTACACTAACCTCTGCCCCAGTGTCGACTAAAAACTGTGTGCCGGTTCTTTTGTCTGTAACATATAATAGACGACTGTCTTGAAAGTTGTGGTCAGTGAGTGCAGTCGTCATTAACCTACGGTCTTGACGTTCCTTTTTCTGTGTGCTTGCAAAGTTACAAGGCGGAGTACATTTTCTAGCTTGTTTGCCATATGTTCTATGGTACCAGCAAATGTTGTGTCTAGTAGTGCTTGGACTACGTCGTCTACGGCTTGTGGATGTTCCTCTACGCTTGCTGTGGGAGGCATTCAATAATTGGATCTGAGCTATCTGTTTCGTAAGGGTATCAACTGATCGTCGTAACTCGGCGATCTCGTCAGCTGAGCTTGATTGGATTTGAGATACAAGGTGAGTCTTGGACCGTTCGTAAATTCTGTCGGCTATGTCTGCTAGTCTATCAAAATCAACGTCTTCGTCTCCAATTGCTAGTATCTGTTGAATGTTTTGAGGGAGACGTCTGAGCCACAATTGATATAGTAGACGTTTGTCTACTGTACGATTTCCTAATAAGTTTGTCATGTGGCGTTTTAACTGTGACGGTGTATTGTCACCTAGCTCCACGTTGGCTAAAAGTTGATCAATTGTCTGTTGGTCGGTGAGAGATGTGACACGAATGACCTCTCTTTTTAGACAATCGAATGGTGAGTCAGGATCCGGCTTAAAAATGACATCCGGCACTTGTTCAATGACGTCATCTGGCAGCAGTGAATTTGCATAACTAAATTTCGTACTCTGGTTTGTGATTTTGTTTGCAACAAAAAAGCTTTCCAAACGAGCAAACCAGAGTTCAGCCTTTCGTGGATTAAAAATGGGTAAAGGTACAGAGATGGCACCCACGGAAATAGATTTAGATGAAAGGCTTAACGAATTATCAAGTGCCATGATACGAAAAAGCAATAGTAATAATAAGCTGAGGATTGTAATATACAATATGAAGAGAAATAAAAAATAACAAAAAATATATATATAAGACTCACCAAAAAGAAAAACTGTCACTTTTGGTATATGTATGAGAATATACAGTAATAATTCCAAAGGAACAATGTTATGGATAGATTTATTATGACTGTTAATGAATTGTTAATAATTGTAATAGTAATTCCAATGTGAAGTTCTTTAAGACACGCCTGGAGAGTATGCAGCAGAATTCGTAGAGGAATGGTGTGTGTTCTAAAAGCGGTTCACCAATATATTGTGGCAGCAGCTAACCAATATGTTAAGGATAATGTCCTTAATATCTGACTCCAAATAATAATATTCCGTAACTGAGTATTTAAGGTAGGCTTAATCTCCTAGTAGAATTATGGATTTACTCGAGATTATTAAGAAGCCTGAACACCAGTTATGGAGATAGTTTATTATTAATGAATAATGATAATCCACAAGCGTATTGTGAGCAAGCACACGATGGGAACAGAGAGAGAGTGAGTGAGTTTGTTAAAAATCCATATATATTTGAGGGTTAATCGGGTGTAGATAAATTATCGATTATCTGCACGTTGAAACCAATAGGAAAATAGTTTAAAAGTTAATGTACAGACACGCATTCGATCAAACACACCGAAATTAACATAGTGAATTAAGAGTCTAAGTTACAATGAATAGACAGATGATACAGTGGCCAAATGGGCTTGCCACAAGTCACAGTGGAGTGTGGAATTATCTGTTCAGACAAATAAAGGCTCTCAACATTCAATATAAGATAATAGGGAATATAACGCTTATACAAAACAAGGAAGTGAATGAATACTTGAACAATACTGTTTTGTCATATGCTTGGTTGTTTGGGGTCAACTCTTAACCAAACAACCTAAGCTGTTACAAGCTCCTCTCCTGTTTCATACGTCCTCCATTGACCTTCCGAATCTTTTAGAGATGCAAATATGATCTATCTGGTTCTCTGTGATGTGATCCGGTGAAACCCATGTAGCTTTGTGTATGAGTTTGACTAGAAATAATAGGCAGCCTATTACCAATTTGTCGAATGCTCATAAGTTTACGAATCTCTCACCATTATCGTTCCTTTCACATAGTCCAAGTCGTCCCACGATGCATTCATAACCGTCGTTGTCCATTTCAAGTTTGGCAACTCTCTGAGTGTGTGGAGCGCTAGCTTCTTCGTGATCGAGTACAGCAGCAACTCTCTTGAATGCAATCTCTTCTGTCTAGCTTCGGTCCAACGCCTTTTACTGTGTCGGAACACCATCAAGTTGCATCAACTCATTTCCGTTGCTATTTGACTACTCTCACATTGTCCACAGGTTCCATGTACCTATGAAAATTTTTACTCTGGTTGATAGCAGGGGCGTCGGCCTTGTGATTTCTGAAGAATCTTGGCTTTCACTATTAGGCTTCATAAGATCCTTCAACTCCCAGGGCTGAGCTTACATGGTTTGATTTGTTTGGTCTGGTTGGCGTTATTTTAGCACAATTTGTTTTGAGGGATGGTGTTGCCGACCCTATGCTCAGCCCCTCTTCACTCGGGCTTGAGACCAGCAGTAACTATAGGAGGGCTTCAAAGTGAGTTCGCATTAGTACACTTCTGTATGCCATGGTGTGACCAACTAAACCATGAAACCTCATGGGAAGATACATCACTTTCTATACTGACTAGTCCTGTCGTGATCTCAGGTTATTACGTCTAAAGAATGCATTTGTGCTAGGAATAGAATATGATATTTATTATGAAGAGCAAGAGAGTACATCGCGGTGACCATATCTTCAAGCCCGAGCCATACCATACCGCGCACACCATGTTTGTGACCTGCATTATGGTGTTAAATGACGAATGTAAGCCTCCTGTTATTATGTCTGGATGTTGTCTACATAGACTTCAGCAAAGCATTTGACAAGATGCTAATAAATAGACTGCTATTGAAGCTAGAAAATATTGATATTGTCGGACCTCTGTTAAAATGGCTTAAAGATTTCCTAGTAGGTCGTGGACAGAAAGCAAGAATAAATTCATAGTGCTCCACATGAAGATAAGTACTTAGTGGAGTACCTCATGGTTCTGCACAAGGTCCCTTACTTTTTACACTTTATGTAAATGACCTCCCAAGTATAATAGAGTCCCTAATGTTGTTATACACTGACGATGTAAAACTCTGGTGAGAAATAACGGGAGACGTAGATGCATGTGCACTCCAAGCAGACCTAAAAGGGGTGACTGATGCCTATCAACGCAGTAAATAATGTGTACATGCATTTTCGGGTTAGTAGATACAGCATAGGGGAAGTGCCTGTACCCAATATCTGGTCTCACAGAGATCATGGGGTGACCGCGAGTCATGATCTTAAGACCACGACCCGCGGCTGCGTGATCGCAGTTAAGAGGTTGAAGATGCCACATGTATTCGGAGTTTGACAACGCTTTAACCAGTAACACCTAATATGAACCGTACCCACCAAGTGAAATCAGAAGACAGAAGCGAGGAAGTTCGAAGATATATTTGATAGGCTATCAATATATCGAGGATCGTCTGATCTAATCTGACTAGCGATTTCAGGGGTTGTTGAACATGGCGTTCCCACTCGTGATCTGATGCTGATGCATGACCGAGCGCTTTCAGCTAGGTGAGTCCATTAAAACTAATGTGGTCAGCATCCAATGTCGGAAACTTACAGAGCTATTTATTTTAGTTTTTTTACCTCTACAAGGTTTACAACCCTATGGGCTTTAAGACAGACATTCACCAAGATAGATACTGCCATTTTCACCAAAATATACTGTAGATCACCAACGTAGATGATCTATGTCGAAATGATTGGAGGCCTACTCGAGTTAGACGTAAATAGTGTGACAAACTAGTTAATGACGAGGTCACACCTCGTAGTCATCACCTTACGTGGACTACCCCATTGACATATCAAGGTATCATAGATGCTTTGAAGACTGTAAAACACAGAGGACGTAATTACAGAAATATGTTAGTTAAAGTAGATAAAAGCGAAAGCGAGACCACTGCCGCATGGGCCAGTCCACGGTACACGATTAATTGATGCGCGTTGGTTGTCACTGACCTTGACGAGGATCGATGATTTGCTCGATATCCAATGACCCAACTACCGGATGATTTGGCTAGGACTTAGTAACATTTCGCTTGCCCAACAATAAAAATCCTTGGTGAGAACTAAGTTTGAAAACTGGGTTCAGGTTGCAAGCTATTTTTTAAGAGGTGGCCGGGATATACTGTAAAATGTACAGATTGCAGCTACTAGTGCAAGTTTCCAGAACTCCGGGGTTTACCATATAAAGAACGGCTTGAAAAGTTAGACATCTTTACTCTGTTTTATCGCAGATTAAGAGGTGATCGGATTTCGATGTATAGAATTCTAAAAATTATTTTGGGCCTAACATCTCCCCTCTTTTTTTTCCACATTAAATCGGGACATTTCAGAGGACATAGCAGGCGAGTAGAAAAGTCTAGAACGAATAAAATACCCGTGGCTTACAGGTTTTCTCGCCGAGTCATCAATTCTTGAAACCAGTTACCTGACTCATTCAAGAGAATACCAGACATTCACAGAAGCATGCTGGAAAAGGAGTAACATAGGCCGTAGGTTTTCTGTCTTTAATACACAAATGTGAATCTGAAATCCGATTGATCGCCCTCAGGGATCATGTCGCTGAAAACCAATACCACTGCAGAACATGTAAAAAATTGTACACAACAAACACCTAGAATCGTAATTAAGCAACTATAAGACATTAGAAAGAAATTATTTGGTTCACAATAGTTCGACACAAAGATATTGGGCATTGAATCGTTGTCGACTAGATTAACGCTACCCAATTGTTTTTTCTACTGTCTGTATCTGAGTCGTTTAAGGTAGATTCTGAACGTGTTTTTTCCTAAATGTTAACTTTTAGACGGTTCTACGATTGCGTTTTGTTAATTTTCCATTTCTTTTGTGAAGATCCATTGATCATTCCCTAGAGATATTTAAAGAACGAGGAATTTCCTCTTTTTGTCGCTCTGTGTTTAACATATGTTACAAGTATTATTTCCATAACAAACTACTTGACGACTGCAGTTGGCAACATCAGAAAATGGTACATATTTAGAGAATTGTGATAGTAGACAGATGTTTGAGCAACGATCGTTATGCTAAGTCCCAATCTTTTAATTTCGAGGAAGCCGCTTTAAAAAATTGTAGGGGAAAAAGCACAAAAAACCCAAAAGTTTCCCCAGATCTGGGGAAATCTCCAAAATTTCGGAGAAAACCTTAAAATAATGAGATTGAAGTCCCATTGTAGTTCATGGTGACCTGCGAAAGAAATTAAGGGTTATGGGTTATTAGGTCAGGTCTTTTCTTGGACACTTCGCTACGATCATCATGAACCTTTTCTTTGTTTTGAAGGATTCTTTGATGGTTCTGTATCCGTGAGATTCCCACCCAATAAGTGCATTTCGCGCTTTTTTGGACAACATCAGAACGACTCTTTGAGTGTGTGGAGCACTTGCCTCTTCGTGACCGGAGTACAGCGGCAATTCTCTTGAATCCAATCTTTTCTGCCTAGCTTGGGTGCAATCAGTTTCACTGGTTGGGATGGTGTTGCCGACTCTATGCTCAATCTTCCTTCTTAACTCGGGCTTGTGATTGTCAGTAACTCTAGAAGAGCTATAGGCGTTGCAAAAATGTAATATTTCTATAACCTCGTCTGTATGCAGTCTCGGACAATCCAAATCCAATCACTAGTTCAGGTTACATTACTTAGGAAATGATATTTTTTAACGAACCCTTATGAGTTATCATTCAGTAATCTGATGGCTCCAATGACTTGAAAGAGTTGTTAAATCTATCTTACTATTCCCGGGAAAGAACATTCCAATATCCTGGATTGGTCTGCAGTCGCATATAAAAACCACAATTACGACGAACTCAAGTCAACTTCCTTGAATTTTTTGTTATGGTGGTTTTGAAATTCTTTCACACACTGACCTTATTACACATCACACACTTATGCCAATTCATTTACAATTTTTTCAATACCTCTCCTCATTATGATCATAATTTTATGGTAACATTTCAATACAAGTTATTTAGTATATATTTTACTCTTAGACGACCTCCCATCTATAAATTTGGTCTGACTATTGAATATACAAACTATTGTGATATAATGAACTCGACTTATCTAAGATAGGTTGGATAAACGAAGCATACAACCTGGATGCTATTGTCCTTGTAAATTGTGGTTCCGAAAAAGTTCCCTAAGACTAAGCCTTATTGTTCATCCTTTCTTACTGACCTCGTTAGCTCTTCATTCTTTCCTTTTATATCATTCGTAACTATTAGCTCCTACAATTGGTTTTCGCTACTTAGTAAACAGTAGATTTTGTCTTTATACACCTTTCTGTATGTAAGTACTACTCCTAAACCTTTGTTTAGCTCATAGATTACATCATTTCCCCCTACTTTGTTTACTTATTGTTTCACCCCATTAAAAAAAAATCAACATGCATTTCTAACTGTATCTTCCATGTAACTACTTGTAACAACAGTCATGTGGTGTGAATTTAAATCTGTCATCATTCTTTGATGAAGGTACTGATCTTGGTTGTGTCTACACGTTTTCAAAATGAACGTTCTTAACTACCTTATTGTCCATTTTTCTAAAATGTTCATAACTTGGGACCAAGAAGTCCTTCTAAATATATTGTCAAGATGAACTCTACAAAGATTGTAGTCATTGTGACCTGAATTTCTTGGGAACTTTGGCTTATGCGTCTGTTTGTGTAAGCTTTTCATCAACTCTTCTTTTTTATACTCCAGAGAAAATAAACTGAACAGAAAAGTATAACTTTGAATCAATTTTTTATTATGCCTATACACTCGTATCTGTGCTGATTGTACAATCATGTGTACTAAGTAGTCAGTGATTGTGCTTTTTCGTTTAGTTTATACACCAATGATTCATGATACTGCTGCTAATAATTCTAAAGAATCAGGAATAACTACAGGAACCTCAGTAGGTTTTAAACTTTTACTGCGTTATGAAATAATGTTCAGATTCCTTCTCATGAAAACCGACCTGGTAACAATTCTTTACCATCATATCGTAGCGGAGATTTCTCTAGAACAATGAAACGAAAAGCATCTCGAATCAGTCATCATAAAGCTAAACGTGAAATGAGAAACGCACCATGGACGCCCGGTGATGATTATTTATTGATAAATTCCGTTGTCATGGTAAGTTAAATATTTTGTTGGTTAAGACAACTAGCTGCCTAAACGAAGTGTAGACTACTTCCCTATTTTATTGTTCACAAGTGCTTTTAAAATCAGTTCTTTTTGAGTTACTTTAAATATTACTAAAAGTAGAATATAGATCAGCCATTCGTTCATAGACACACTAGGAGCTGGAATAAATATATTTTCGTTGTAGTTGACGTACTGTTTTGTATAGTCAGAATTTCGACCCAAAATAATCTATTATTTCTGACCATATATATTTTATAGAAACCTCATTTGCATTATGTATGGGCTTATATACTGGACTTTGAGTTATACCTTCCCAATAATGCTAACGGCTGTCCGAAGCATAGTATGTGTAGCAGGTTCCGATTATTTTATTATTATTATTTGAACACATATTGGTACAAGGAGACACCATATATATATGCATCACACAATCATTTCGTTTTATTTGTGTGAGAGCTGATACTACCCGGTCGCCCAAGCCGAAGCAGGTGGTTTTCTTAGGGGGTCATTTTTAGAGCCTTCGACCTAAAGGTTTAATCCACAAGGCAGTGGAGCGACGTCAGGAGATACAGTCTCATGGTAGCCGGTGACCAATGATTTGTTCATGCGCCATTTGTTCCCCCAGGATCCTGGAGCCCACGTGACAATTGGTTTGGAATCAGGGTTTTCCAACTCCCCTCCGTATCCATTATCCCTGTTATGGCACCGGACATTAGCTTTTCTTCGTTCCAATTTCGTAAACAACACCCCCTCCACGAGAAGGCAGTGAGTAGGTTCCGAACCTTCAACTTGTTAGTTAAAAGTCAAGTTCTCTAACTAATAACCCATCATTTTAAAAAAATGAATAAATCTAACACGTTGACATAGATCCGTAACTCAAAAGTCTTAGCCTTCAACTCTCAGTTATCGAATTTCAGATTTGAAGTGACCTCATCTTCGTTTTGGTCTGGTCACTAGCTGTCGCATACAGAATTGCACTTAATATCTAAGTTGTATCGAATCAATAAACGTTTAAATGAACATTCGATTATTATTCAGTTAGTGTGTAAGGAACTGTTATTCAAGTTTATTGTGACAAGTTAGCAAAGCGTATTGTTTTTTTAAGCAGTCATCTCCCAATCATGTTTTATAACATAAATATTTCAAATAAATATCTTGCACATAGGTATGTAACCTTACAGAAGTGTGTCACACTGTAAGATTCGCTGTTCATTTTACGGAGAAAGAAATTGAACGTCGTTGGCGTGATTTATTATTCGACCCAATCGTATCTAGGTAAGCCGTTCAAAAACGTTATTTTGACTACTTTTGTATGTTAGTAAGTAGTTAATTATGCGAAACATATTTCTGTTGAAAATCACTGAGTTTATGGGATGTTTTGTAAAACAGTACCCCGTTTAAAATCGATATGTGACTGTTACAGCCTTTCAATTAAACCATTCACCGCTAAACCCTTTCAACTAAAACTATAGTAGTCAGCTCATTAGTTACTTCAAGTTGTTCCGGAAGTAGTAGTAAGAATTCCTAACTGGTGGAATTTAGAAGTGTCAGGGTTGAAACGGTTGTCACTTGTGTCGTTGTATGGTTGTCAACGTATATCGCAAATTGAGTGGATTCGAAATTGTACCTTTAGATGCCGATTCACTGGTTCTGACAGTTATGCGTTTCATGCAGTTGGTTCCCTTTATGAATTTAAATAGGGCAAGAACAAACGTTGATGCAGAATAGTATGAATTCATAATATTTCGAGGTTTCTCGTCAGCTGCTTACAAAACAAAAATGTTATAGAATTTTTTACATTTTTTACATGTCAGTTGTTTCATACTATCAATGTAAAAAATTCTATAACATTTTTGGTTTGTAAGCAGCTGACGAGAAACCTCGAAATACTATGAATTCATACTATTCTGCATCAGTGTTTGTTCTTGCTCTATTTAAGTTATGCTTTCGCCGCGAAACATGAAGGATTTGGTTCGGCCTCTGGTGTGATGTAGACTGCTATTGTTCTATACTAGGACAAAACAGCTGTATAGTCATCCCTGATTTTCAGCGGTACCCGAAATTAAATCAATCTGTGACAAATAGAACCTACGAATGTTGTGTTTGTTAGAGTACATGAATGTTAACATTCTTCGAAGAATGCTATTTTTAGTAATAAATTTATTTAAACACGTAAAGATTAGTACAAAGGGATACCAAATTACTTGTGCGCCACAATAAAAATGAGATTGTGAAGGGGTTAGAGAAGGAAGGTGAGCTTAATTATAGAAAAAGAACAAAAATGAATTAGTGTATAAGTGAAAATTAGTAATAACTAACAATAATAATAATAATAATAATAATAATAATCGGCAAGACTGTGTTATAACTCCGTTTTCTTACGGTTAATGACCCAGCTATTCCTATTGCTTAGTATTCTCGGACACCGATTCACTCGACAAGTCCCCAAATCAGAACAAGGTTGAACAGGAAAAAGATTATATTCCAAATAGCAAGTCAGAAGCACAATAGGGGAAAACGTCGGTATATTTATAGTTTTTTACATAAGAAGATTCCAGAATATTCTCCGACTATCGACTAGTGCTGATTGGATAAGAATCAGCCAATCAGCGTGCACCTAAACAATCATGCATTGGGCATGCTTTAATCTAGTCTATGTCCCGCTAACACCTCCCCTCTGAGCAGATTCGTAGGATCTGGTGCTAGAGTCCAACTGCAACCGACTGACTGGCCTGTGCTTTCGATTAGTCCATCGTCTAGGCAATAAAGAAGTATCACTTTTCTTGCACAGAAACTGATGTGTCTATTCCCGGCGTTTTGATTTCAAAGGTGTCTAGCAGAACATCAAGAGGTAATCGATATTGAGTCTTGTTGCTGGCTATCGAGGTTGCTTTCAATTGGTTAGCATGACGTACCCAAACTTCCGAGCCAACTGACACCTCGTAAACCACACTCCCCTTCTTTTTCAAGATCCGACCAGCTGTCCATATAGGATGTTTCCCACGATAGTCCATAGCAAGCACTTTTTGTCCCACAGTGAACAATCGTCTTTGTGCCCCCTGATGTCGGTTAAACTGTTTCTCCATCGATAGGTTTCGTTGGGGTTCAATAGCTGGCGTAGGACGGATGACATCGAAATGTGTACGTATCTTTCTGCCAAGTGGAGCTTCTGCTGGAGAGAGCCCGTTAATTGTCTGAGGGTTCGGTGTAGAACGATAAATAAACAGGAACCTCTCTAAGATATCTTCAGTGGTCCCTTCCCCTTTGGATTTTTTTAGAGCATTTTTAAATGTACTCACAAAGCGTTCCACTTGGCCATTTGATTGGGGATGGTATGGAGGTGTTCGGATGTGCTGGATTCCGTTCTGCCGACAAAATTGTGAGAAGATTTCGGACGTAAACTGTGTTCCGTTGTCACTAACTATCAATTCCGGGATTCCAAAACGACTGAATAGTTGACGTAGTTTACTGACTGTGCAGCTTGCAGTCGGGTGTTCCATGAGAAAAATTTCTGGCCACTTGCTATATGCATCAACCACCAAAAGGTAAGTTTGTCCATGAAGTGGACCAGCAAAGTCCAAATGTATACGCTGCCACGGTGACTGTGGTATTGGCCATGATTGCAGCTCTGCTTTTCGCGGTGCTTTTGTTGCTAATGCACATTTGGTACACGAACGGGATAGCTGCTCCAGTTGGGTGTCTAAATGCGGCCAGTATACATAACTTCGTGCTAGTGCTTTCATGCGATTTATTCCAGGATGTCCTGCATGCAATTGTTCAAGCACTGCTGGTTGTAGCTTCTTGGGAATTATGACACGTTCGGCAAACAGCAGACAGTCATCGATGATTGAAAGAGAGAGTCTTCGCTGGTAAAACTGTTGAAGGTCTGTGGAATAGATTTTCGAGGGCCACCGTTCTAGGTGGAACTTTCTAACTTCTTGTAGTGTTGGGTCTCGAAGCGTTTCTTCCCTGACTTCATCTGACGACACTGGAGTGTTTCGAATGGCATCTGCCACTATACTTCGTATTTCTGGGTCTACTGCTGTGGAGGCAATGATTATATCCTCTGGTCCAGGATGTTGAACTCCAATTAATCGGGAGAGAGCGTCAGCTTGACCGATAGTATTTGTTGACTGATACTTGATATTAAAATCATAACTCAGGAGCATTGTTGCCCAGTGCTGTAGTCTATTAGCCGTATAGACAGGGATTCCTTTCTTAGAACCAAAGATTGCAATCAAAGGTTTGTGATCTGTCAGTAGAGTAAATGTACGACCATAGAGCATTTCATGAAATCTTTTGACTGCGAAAATGATTGCAAGAGCTTCCTTTTCAATTTGGCTGTAGTTTCGCTCGGCTGGAGTAAGTGATCTAGCAGCATGGGCAATTGTCTTCTCTGATTTATCCGGAAACACGTGAGATATCACTGCTCCAACTCCATGACTAGAGGCATCAGATGCAACAACAATTTCCAAGCTGGGATCGAAGTGCGTCAAAAGAATTTTTGAGCTGAGCATTGATTTGACTCTGTCAAAAGATGCTTGACATTCTGCTGACCACTGCTACGGTTTATCTTTCGATAGTAATTCATTTAGGAGACCTCTCACTCGGTGCATTTCAGGCAAGAATGTGCTGTAATGACTGATTAACCCCAAGAAGGATCTTAATGAAGAAACATCAGTTGGTGCAGGCATCTTCTGAATGGCTTCGATGTTGGCAGGGTCTGGTCGGCGACCGTTCTTATCTAAGATAAAACCAAGGTATTTGATCGAATGCATGAAGAGGATACATTTTTCCTCACGTAGTTGGAAACCATACTCCAACACTCGGTTAAGGACTTGGTGTAGTCGATCAGAAAGTTCACTGTCAGTTGAACCCATAACTATGATATCATCTAGATAAGCTGCTGTACCAGGTATACCTGTTAGCATCGTATCCATTATTTGCTGAAAGATGGCGGGTGCGGTCTTGATGCCAAATGGTAGACGGGTGTATTGAAATAACCCTCGATGAGTGTTAATGGTCAGAAGCTCTCTACTATCTTCATCTACTTCCACTTGGAGATAAGCATCGGAGAAGTCTATTTTCACAAAACATGTCCCACCATTAAGCTTGGCAAACAGGTCTTCCGGAACTGGTAAGGGATATTGATATACATCTAATGCAGCGTTTAAACCGGTCGAGAAATCGGCACATATGCGTATAGTCCCATTGGCCTTCTTAATCACTACAATCGGTGCGGCCCATGCAGAGTAGTTAACTGGTCGGATTACACCAGCCTGCTGCAAGCGATTAAGTTCCTGGTCGACTAGCTCAAGAGCAGCATATGGCACAGGACGTCTCGGGCGAAAAATAGGTATGGCATCTGGTTTCACTGGTAAGTGCGCTTTCATCTTGGTACAGTGGCCAAGGCTATTCTGAAAAATAGAGGCAAACTTTCTTTTCAGTTTTTCTAGTAACCGTTCACCTGTCTTCTTTGGAAGTAATGGGGTGTCCAATGATGAACACGATACGTTACAGACACTGTTAATTGGTATATCCATTATTCCAAGTTTGTCTAGCATATCTAGACCAAGAAGATCAAGGTTCGGCCGTTCTGTTAGGTAACATATTCCTGTACAGTTAGTTCCATTGAAGGAAAATTCACACTGTAATTCACCAACCAGTTTTAGCACACCACCTGATGCGTTTTTAGCCGTTTTCTTAGATGGCTTCATTGGCGGTTTACCCAGCAAGTTATACGTTTCTCTAGGCACTAACGTGATATCTGATGCCGTGTCAATTTGAAGACGAGCTGATATGCCGTTTATCTGGATGGTAACATACTTTCTCCGAATGTCATAGTTTGTTTGAAAAGCAGCTACCAGAGAAAGAGATTTAGACTCGGCTGATTTCACATGTCGAGGACGTTTATGCTTCTTCTTAGGCTGAGACGTACGCTTCGGTGGACAATGACCTTCTTTATGTCCACGTTTGTTGCACTCCTGACATTTATGCTTCTTGAATGGACAGAATCGTGCATAATGCCAATCACCGCATAACCAGGATGCAGTCCTTGGTTTGTTACGAGTTGTTACCGGCTTCTGAACTTTTAACCTAGTAATAGTATTTACACTACCGCAGGTTAAATTAGGATTTACCTGTTCAATCAACTCGTTGTCGTGTCTGATGCTTTGTAGACGCTTACACTCATCTGTCAATGTTCTGAGTGTGACGTTTGGGTCTTGATCCAGTCGAGCTAAAAGTCTCGTCCTGATCTCAGCATCTTGTGGTGACTGAAGAGCTTTGATGAAAATTAAGCATTTAAATTGGTCATCAGTCAACGAGCGTAACTTGAAACGTTCACATTCTCTGTTGACAATGTCTGCTAGAACACCATATTCATCAGCTTCGCGTTTCACCAAATTTAGACACCGATAACGAATACTAAACAACGAGGATGACTCGCCGAATATCTCTGACAACTGAAATACCGTCTCCTCGAAACTGAGCTCTCGAGGTAACTTTGGCAATATATGGTCAGCAAAACGTGCATGTTCATCGCCTCCCAACTTACGTACCAACAATCGGGTCTTCCACGCATCGTCTTGGTTACAGAATTCTGTTCTAAATGTATCTTCCCAACGTTTGAACCACGTGAGAAAAGTATTTCCACTTTCGGGATCATAGATGAATTCTGGGATGCTGCTAGCAACTGCATCACAAGACGTACTTAAAATAGCATGTGAACCCGAGCTGTGAATGTTGAGCTGTTGAGTCAGGGTCTCTAACAACCGCATTTGTGCATCAAGTTGTGCTTGCTGTTGTTGTAGTATTCGGTTAAGCTGGTCATCTGATATGGGCATCTTGAATTTGTTTTCCTTTTTCCCCGTCGCCACTGTTATAACTCTGTTTTCTTACGGTTAATGACCCAGCTATTCCTATTGCTTAGTATTCTCGGACACCGATTCACTCGACAAGTCCCCAAATCAGAACAAGGTTGAACAGGAAAAAGATTATATTCCAAATAGCAAGTCAGAAGCACAATAGGGGAAAACGTCGGTATATTTATAGTTTTTTACATAAGAAGATTCCAGAATATTCTCCGACTATCGACTAGTGCTGATTGGATAAGAATCAGCCAATCAGCGTGCACCTAAACAATCATGCATTGGGCATGCTTTAATCTAGTCTATGTCCCGCTAACACCTCCCCTCTGAGCAGATTCGTAGGATCTGGTGCTAGAGTCCAACTGCAACCGACTGACTGGCCTGTGCTTTCGATTAGTCCATCGTCTAGGCAATAAAGAAGTATCACTTTTCTTGCACAGAAACTGATGTGTCTATTCCCGGCGTTTTGATTTCAAAGGTGTCTAGCAGAACATCAAGAGGTAATCGATATTGAGTCTTGTTGCTGGCTATCGAGGTTGCTTTCAATTGGTTAGCATGACGTACCCAAACTTCCGAGCCAACTGACACCTCGTAAACCACACTCCCCTTCTTTTTCAAGATCCGACCAGCTGTCCATATAGGATGTTTCCCACGATAGTCCATAGCAAGCACTTTTTGTCCCACAGTGAACAATCGTCTTTGTGCCCCCTGATGTCGGTTAAACTGTTTCTCCATCGATAGGTTTCGTTGGGGTTCAATAGCTGGCGTAGGACGGATGACATCGAAATGTGTACGTATCTTTCTGCCAAGTGGAGCTTCTGCTGGAGAGAGCCCGTTAATTGTCTGAGGGTTCGGTGTAGAACGATAAATAAACAGGAACCTCTCTAAGATATCTTCAGTGGTCCCTTCCCCTTTGGATTTTTTTAGAGCATTTTTAAATGTACTCACAAAGCGTTCCACTTGGCCATTTGATTGGGGATGGTATGGAGGTGTTCGGATGTGCTGGATTCCGTTCTGCCGACAAAATTGTGAGAAGATTTCGGACGTAAACTGTGTTCCGTTGTCACTAACTATCAATTCCGGGATTCCAAAACGACTGAATAGTTGACGTAGTTTACTGACTGTGCAGCTTGCAGTCGGGTGTTCCATGAGAAAAATTTCTGGCCACTTGCTATATGCATCAACCACCAAAAGGTAAGTTTGTCCATGAAGTGGACCAGCAAAGTCCAAATGTATACGCTGCCACGGTGACTGTGGTATTGGCCATGATTGCAGCTCTGCTTTTCGCGGTGCTTTTGTTGCTAATGCACATTTGGTACACGAACGGGATAGCTGCTCCAGTTGGGTGTCTAAATGCGGCCAGTATACATAACTTCGTGCTAGTGCTTTCATGCGATTTATTCCAGGATGTCCTGCATGCAATTGTTCAAGCACTGCTGGTTGTAGCTTCTTGGGAATTATGACACGTTCGGCAAACAGCAGACAGTCATCGATGATTGAAAGAGAGAGTCTTCGCTGGTAAAACTGTTGAAGGTCTGTGGAATAGATTTTCGAGGGCCACCGTTCTAGGTGGAACTTTCTAACTTCTTGTAGTGTTGGGTCTCGAAGCGTTTCTTCCCTGACTTCATCTGACGACACTGGAGTGTTTCGAATGGCATCTGCCACTATACTTCGTATTTCTGGGTCTACTGCTGTGGAGGCAATGATTATATCCTCTGGTCCAGGATGTTGAACTCCAATTAATCGGGAGAGAGCGTCAGCTTGACCGATAGTATTTGTTGACTGATACTTGATATTAAAATCATAACTCAGGAGCATTGTTGCCCAGCGCTGTAGTCTATTAGCCGTATAGACAGGGATTCCTTTCTTAGAACCAAAGATTGCAATCAAAGGTTTGTGATCTGTCAGTAGAGTAAATGTACGACCATAGAGCATTTCATGAAATCTTTTGACTGCGAAAATGATTGCAAGAGCTTCCTTTTCAATTTGGCTGTAGTTTCGCTCGGCTGGAGTAAGTGATCTAGCAGCATGGGCAATTGTCTTCTCTGATTTATCCGGAAACACGTGAGATATCACTGCTCCAACTCCATGACTAGAGGCATCAGATGCAACAACAATTTCCAAGCTGGGATCGAAGTGCGTCAAAAGAATTTTTGAGCTGAGCATTGATTTGACTCTGTCAAAAGATGCTTGACATTCTGCTGACCACTGCTACGGTTTATCTTTCGATAGTAATTCATTTAGGAGACCTCTCACTCGGTGCATTTCAGGCAAGAATGTGCTGTAATGACTGATTAACCCCAAGAAGGATCTTAATGAAGAAACATCAGTTGGTGCAGGCATCTTCTGAATGGCTTCGATGTTGGCAGGGTCTGGTCGGCGACCGTTCTTATCTAAGATAAAACCAAGGTATTTGATCGAATGCATGAAGAGGATACATTTTTCCTCACGTAGTTGGAAACCATACTCCAACACTCGGTTAAGGACTTGGTGTAGTCGATCAGAAAGTTCACTGTCAGTTGAACCCATAACTATGATATCATCTAGATAAGCTGCTGTACCAGGTATACCTGTTAGCATCGTATCCATTATTTGCTGAAAGATGGCGGGTGCGGTCTTGATGCCAAATGGTAGACGGGTGTATTGAAATAACCCTCGATGAGTGTTAATGGTCAGAAGCTCTCTACTATCTTCATCTACTTCCACTTGGAGATAAGCATCGGAGAAGTCTATTTTCACAAAACATGTCCCACCATTAAGCTTGGCAAACAGGTCTTCCGGAACTGGTAAGGGATATTGATATACATCTAATGCAGCGTTTAAACCGGTCGAGAAATCGGCACATATGCGTATAGTCCCATTGGCCTTCTTAATCACTACAATCGGTGCGGCCCATGCAGAGTAGTTAACTGGTCGGATTACACCAGCCTGCTGCAAGCGATTAAGTTCCTGGTCGACTAGCTCAAGAGCAGCATATGGCACAGGACGTCTCGGGCGAAAAATAGGTATGGCATCTGGTTTCACTGGTAAGTGCGCTTTCATCTTGGTACAGTGGCCAAGGCTATTCTGAAAAATAGAGGCAAACTTTCTTTTCAGTTTTTCTAGTAACCGTTCACCTGTCTTCTTTGGAAGTAATGGGGTGTCCAATGATGAACACGATACGTTACAGACACTGTTAATTGGTATATCCATTATTCCAAGTTTGTCTAGCATATCTAGACCAAGAAGATCAAGGTTCGGCCGTTCTGTTAGGTAACATATTCCTGTACAGTTAGTTCCATTGAAGGAAAATTCACACTGTAATTCACCAACCAGTTTTAGCACACCACCTGATGCGTTTTTAGCCGTTTTCTTAGATGGCTTCATTGGCGGTTTACCCAGCAAGTTATACGTTTCTCTAGGCACTAACGTGATATCTGATGCCGTGTCAATTTGAAGACGAGCTGATATGCCGTTTATCTGGATGGTAACATACTTTCTCCGAATGTCATAGTTTGTTTGAAAAGCAGCTACCAGAGAAAGAGATTTAGACTCGGCTGATTTCACATGTCGAGGACGTTTATGCTTCTTCTTAGGCTGAGACGTACGCTTCGGTGGACAATGACCTTCTTTATGTCCACGTTTGTTGCACTCCTGACATTTATGCTTCTTGAATGGACAGAATCGTGCATAATGCCAATCACCGCATAACCAGGATGCAGTCCTTGGTTTGTTACGAGTTGTTACCGGCTTCTGAACTTTTAACCTAGTAATAGTATTTACACTACCGCAGGTTAAATTAGGATTTACCTGTTCAATCAACTCGTTGTCGTGTCTGATGCTTTGTAGACGCTTACACTCATCTGTCAATGTTCTGAGTGTGACGTTTGGGTCTTGATCCAGTCGAGCTAAAAGTCTCGTCCTGATCTCAGCATCTTGTGGTGACTGAAGAGCTTTGATGAAAATTAAGCATTTAAATTGGTCATCAGTCAACGAGCGTAACTTGAAACGTTCACATTCTCTGTTGACAATGTCTGCTAGAACACCATATTCATCAGCTTCGCGTTTCACCAAATTTAGACACCGATAACGAATACTAAACAACGAGGATGACTCGCCGAATATCTCTGACAACTGAAATACCGTCTCCTCGAAACTGAGCTCTCGAGGTAACTTTGGCAATATATGGTCAGCAAAACGTGCATGTTCATCGCCTCCCAACTTACGTACCAACAATCGGGTCTTCCACGCATCGTCTTGGTTACAGAATTCTGTTCTAAATGTATCTTCCCAACGTTTGAACCACGTGAGAAAAGTATTTCCACTTTCGGGATCATAGATGAATTCTGGGATGCTGCTAGCAACTGCATCACAAGACGTACTTAAAATAGCATGTGAACCCGAGCTGTGAATGTTGAGCTGTTGAGTCAGGGTCTCTAACAACCGCATTTGTGCATCAAGTTGTGCTTGCTGTTGTTGTAGTATTCGGTTAAGCTGGTCATCTGATATGGGCATCTTGAATTTGCTTTCCTTTTTCCCCGTCGCCACTGTTATAACTCTGTTTTCTTACGGTTAATGACCCAGCTATTCCTATTGCTTAGTATTCTCGGACACCGATTCACTCGACAAGTCCCCAAATCAGAACAAGGTTGAACAGGAAAAAGATTATATTCCAAATAGCAAGTCAGAAGCACAATAGGGGAAAACGTCGGTATATTTATAGTTTTTTACATAAGAAGATTCCAGAATATTCTCCGACTATCGACTAGTGCTGATTGGATAAGAATCAGCCAATCAGCGTGCACCTAAACAATCATGCATTGGGCATGCTTTAATCTAGTCTATGTCCCGCTAACAGACTGTTTTAGGAGTTCTCCTAACACATGTGAAAAATGTAGAAAGTTAGCCATTGGCTTTTATTGTGAATCATGCATGATAGCGTCTCAAATCACTGTGTCGCATCATCTCTATGACCCCAACCAGGGAGTCGTGAAGGACCAACAGAAGCCAGTCCTGTACAGCTTTCTTTCATGCTACGAAATGTCATGCACTGACCACCTCTCCGCTTTTTCCAATCGTTCTTAGCGTCGGGAAAGAATGCGCGATGTGAAATTCACTGGGACGACATTCATAGTACATGTCCGAGTTACCGAACTCGTTGTTTCAAGATGATGACATCGATTGAATTATCGTCGCTGTGCCCTAACACGATTCCGAACCTCTGCGTTACTAACATGGTGTTGCCACTAGAAATCAGCGATCCTTCAGAATATTATTTATTTATTTGAACACATAAATATTGGCACAAACAGGTGCCATATACATATGCATCACACAATCATTTCGTTTTATTTGTGTGAGAGCTGATACTACCCGGTCGCCCAAGCCGAAGCAGGTGGTTTTCTTAGGGGGTCATTTTTAGAGCCTTCGACCTAAAGGTTTAATCCACAAGGCAGTGGAGCGACGTCAGGAGATACAGTCTCATGGTAGCCGGTGACCAATGATTTGTTCATGCGCCATTTGTTCCCCCAGGATCCTGGAGCCCACGTGACAATTGGTTTGGAATCAGGGTTTTCCAACTCCTCTCCGTATCCATTATCCCTGTTATGGCACCGGACATTAGCTTCTCATCGTCTCAACTTCGTACAAAATACCTCTGTCCAAGAGGGCAGTCCGTCGGTCAGTAACAACGTAAACTTCATACGTGCATACATCAGTATTTTCCTCTTCGTGACCAGAGTACAGTAGCACCTCTCCCGTATATAGCTTTAGCTGTCCAGCTTGGGTCCAATGGGTTTCGCTGATCCCGAGTACCACCAACTTGTATCTCCTTTCCGTTACTATTTGACTGGTCTTCTCGTTCTACCTCATTGTCGGGACGTTCCACGTACCCATAAAAGTTGTTGCTCTGGTTGTTAGAAGGGGCTAACAAGAAAAAAATAATTCAAGCTATTTAAAATAAGTGTCATAGTTTCACAGAAATTAATCCATTTCTGTTTCTTTATTCAAATAAGCTTTAGTCAAACTTGTAATGTTTTTATATAACCACCTCTGTCTCTATCTCTCCTTCTACCCACCTTCTTTTAGCACTGCGCTGAAAGCAATCGAGCACCTTCCTTCGTTTATGAAATCCCAATTAGATAGACAAATACCATTCAGTTCACAAGAGGATAATATTATAGCTCAAATTTCTTTCTCCGATGTCTATCCAGACGGTGTGTTCAAATCGCTTAATATACATAGTCTGGTAAGTATTGATTTGTTGTGATAGTGTAAGCTTCTTGTTTCTTTGTTTTTTCTCATGGATAGTACTATGAAAAGTTGTGTATATGACATAGCTACAGTTGTAAAATATCACTAATTTACTAAGTTATTTAGTGATGAGTTCACTGGACTCGGTAGTTAAGTGAATAACTCATTGGGCGTTTGAAGCGAAAGGTACTGGGTTCGAGCTCCAGAAAAAACACTAAATCTAGGATGTAGGTTCATCCAGTTGACAAGTTTCAAATAGTATAAAACGTTCGTCTTAGATTCCACTAGTAGTCATAATTTATCTGTGCTTTGAAATACTTTTCGTGTTATTGTTATAGAGTTAGAGTTCGTGTGAAGTTATAGTCCTAAAAGTATAAAATCTGCTCTTTAATACTTCGACTTATTATAATTAGTAGTAGTACGAAAAGAGAGAAAAATACAACACGTGCATATACCTACGGAGCAACAATTTCTGAAAAATCGCACTAAATAAATAATAATGAATAAACATTGAGCCTGTGAAAAGAGACTACTGAACTAATAATTAGCTAATAACAGTCAGATGAATTTCACGCTGCTTTGTAACCGGACTCACCCAAGTTTTTTAATGTTTAAAGAGAGAAATGCGAATTTATTAGCTTAATTATGAATGATAACGGTGTGTACACAGTATCTAAAATCTTGATGAAAGTGTCATCAAAACCTGATGGATGTAAATTCGGTATCGTCCAACCTAGATTAAACAAAGATGTTATTCACGAGTTTCAAAATGTTGTTCAGACTTAACGTATGCATGTGCAAAGAATTTTCTGCTCAGTTACTGATACCAGCTCGGAAAATGCAGAATACCAAACAGTTGTCTCATATTTCTGGTTTAGGATTGTTCAACAGAAGGATGTTACATGTGTCCAAACTGTTTTGTTCCAAAGTCTGATCTGGTTTCAATATACAGTTCCACACAACAGCAAACCCTATTGTACTGATGAAAGGAATGAAATAAATAGTAGGAAGTTTTAATTGCTAAACCCAATGATTGGTTTATAAATTTGTCTTGAAAACTCAGACAAAAAAACGTTGGGTGAGACTTTGAGTAGGTTGTATATCCCGTTTTCTAAATTCAGGCAGATTAATCATCCCACTTTTTTGGTAATTTTTGTACACCTATTCTCTCGAGCAGTGTTACGATGGTATTAGAAAAAAGCTTGAAAGTTAGATGTATAATTGCCATATTATTTTATGCTCTCTTACAAATAATTATGGGCTTTTACCGTTGTGCACATATACGTATACGTATATTCGGACACCGTTGTTTGAGGATTGTGGATCGAATCTTAATACTTTATTTCAGTTCAAGACGTTTTATATAATATAATATGTCTTGACATCATACCGGTCGTCTGTGCCTTGGCAGCGTGATCACTTTACTTGAAGATAAATTTAGAATGGATTGCATTACATTTATTCATTCGCCAAGGATTTGGCTACGTGCCACGCTCCAGGTATGGGGGCTGATGATAGCCCATCCTGGCCCTCAGACAGAAGTAGGCTTGGCAGGGTTCGGATTTGGAACTTAGTGTCTAGAAGTCGAAGGCCTTAACCGCTAGATCAGTCAGTCAGTAACAGCGTAGAACTTCGTACGTACATACATCAGTTCGAGTCGCCATATCACATTAGCGCAGAAATACAGTTGTTCATTCAAATCTCATAGTGGTAGAGGTATTAAAAGTATCAGCAGTAATCCGAACGATTAAAGTTTGAAGATGTTATTCAAGGAGTATAATCCAGTGAAATAAATTTGGAAAGAGAAAAAAGAAAGGGACATGAAGAATTCAGAAGACTAGAATTTGGGAGAACACAAAGAGTGGATGCACCTGCGCCACTGCAAACGATTTTGAGCCATGTCATTCAAAGTCTCTAATCATCGGTTGCTATCATCTCGCGGTCCCCAACCAGCTAGTCTACACCTACCAATATGACTCAGTCTACTTGTCAGTGACTTCATGGACTTGTGCCATGTTTTGGTCTGGCCGCCCCTAGCTTTCTTCCAACCAACTCTAACACCATAAAACATCTCACGTCGGGGCAGTCGGTGGTTGGGCATACGTAACACGTGTCCCAGCTATCTCAACTGATGAAGTTCCGTTACTTCATCAATCGATTTGCCATCCTTACCTAGTACCCGTTTCCTAACAACTGTGTTACTTACTTGTTAGTCCCAGGATATATGGTCAATGCTTCGAAGGCACCTATGATCAAATACTAGTAATCGTTTTACGGAAAAATCAATATAGTGATCCTGCTTTATTATTATTATTATTATTATTAATGTATAAAACTTATGTGTAAACTGTTTGATAAATAGTGACAATTTTACACTGAAATTATATATGCGTGACTATAGGAAAACAAAAGTGATGAACATTTCTGTCTATAATAAGTGTACAAAAATACATAAGTAGTATATAACGCTAGTCAGGAATAGAATGTCTCATAGCAGAAGGTCAAGAAGATCGAGTAGAAAGGATCAAGAACAGAAAGTAATTGGTATGAAAATGCGGAAACCATGGAGTCTGATATGATAAGAAAAGACAAAAGTCCTCTTGTGACAATCACACAGGAATCAGTTTAACTAATATAGTGTCTAAAACATTAGCTTCAATAATACTTCGACGCCTAGCCAAAGCTCGTGAAGAACAGACTAGAGAAAACCAGGCTGGTTTTCGACCTGGACGTGGTTGTATAGATCAGATATTCACACTACGTCAGGTTCTAAAACATAGACACACATTCAGACGCCCCACAATGGTAGTATTTCTTGACCTTAAGGCAACATTTGACTCTGTTGATTGTAAGGTTCTATGGCAGTGTCTGTGACTGAAAGGAGTACCAATGAAGTACATTAACCTTATAAAGGCTCTCTACTCGAACACAACTGGTAGAGTGAGAGCTTATGGCGAACTGTCATCAGAATTGATCACCTCAAGTGGTGTTCGTCAGGGCTGTCCACTCTCTCCATTCTTGTTCGACTTTGTCGTCGACGTACTTTTAGAGGTAACACTTTCCTCGTCTAGATTTCCAGTGGTTGAACTTCTACCGGGAGGTTCACTTGTTGACTTAAAATATGCTGATGACATAGTTTTATTTGGTGAAGAAGCTGACAAAATGCAGAGTCTTCTGACCACTCTAAACAACAAAGCAAGCATGTTTGGGATGCGATTCTCCCCCTCGAAATGCAAAACGTTGCTTCAGGATTAGGTTGCATTGACATCCAAACTAATGATAGAGAGTGAAGTAGTTGAGCCTGTCGACCGCTTCACTTATCTTGGAAGTCTCATCAGCCCTTGTGTTCTGGTGTGTGACGAAATCTCAGCACGGATACAGAAGGCTCGACTAGCTTTTTCCAACTTACGTCATTTATGGCGTAGGCGAGATATCCGTCTATCAACCGAAGAACGTGTTTACTGCGCAGTAGTTCGTTCCGTCCTACTTTATGGCAGTGAAACATGGCTGGTAAGAGTAGAGGATATTCGTAGGTTACCAGTATTTGATCATAGGTGCCTTCGAAATATTGCTCGTATATCCTGGGACCATCGAGTAAGTAATGCAGTTGTTAGGAAACGGGTACTAGGTAAGGATGGCAAATCGATTGATGAAGTAATGGAACTTCATCAGTTGAGATAGCTGGGACACGTGTTACGTATGCCCAACCACCGACTGCCCCGACGTGAGATGTTTTATGGTGTTAGAGTTGGTTGGAAGAAAGCTAGGGGCGGCCAGACCAAAACATGGCACAAGTCCATGAAGTCACTGACAAGTAGACTGAGTCATATTGGTAGGTGTAGACTAGCTGGTTGGGGACCGCGAGATGATAGCAACCGATGATTAGAGACTTTGAATGACATGGCTCAAAATCGTTTGCAGTGGCGCAGGTGCATCCACTCTTTGTGTTCTCCCAAATTCTAGTCTTCTGAATTCTTCATGTCCCTTTCTTTTTTCTCTTTCCAAATTTATTTCACTGGATTATACTCCTTGAATAACGTCTTCAAACTCTAATTTTTCTGATTACAGCTTACAATTTTACTACATCTAGCACTATGGGATTTGAATCGACCACTGCAGCTCTGGAGGACAACCGGAAAGGCATCAATGAAACATTGACTTCAACATGTCAAGAAGTTCTGGGCCTAAAGTAACACCATCATAAGAAATGGATCTCTATAGAAACACTGGACAAGATCAAAGAAAGGAAGAACAAGAAGGCAGCAATAAACAACAGCCGTACACGAGCAGAGAAATTCCAAGCACAAGCTGAATACATAGAAGCAAACAAGTAAGTGAAGAGGAGCATTAGAGCCGACAAGAAGAAATACGTGGAAGAACTAGCAACGACGGCAGAAAAAGCTGCTAGAGAAGGAAATATGAGACAGCTTCACGATACAACGAAGAAACTAGCAGGGAAATACAGTAAACCAGAGAGGCCGGTCAAAGACAAAGAAGGCAAGCTAATCACCGAAATTCAACAACAGCGTAACAGATGGGTAGAATACTTCGAGGAACTCCTGAATAGGCCGGCTCCAATGAATCCACCGGACATCGAAGCAGCATACACAGATCTTCCTATAGATGTCAACCCACCAACGACGGAAGAAATCAGAATGGCCGTCAGACAAATCAAGAACGGGAAAGCAGCAGGACCCGACAACATACCAGCTGAAGCACTGAAACCAGACATCGAAGCAACCACAAGCATGCTTTAGCTTCTATTCAAAAAGATTTGGGAGGAGTAACAAGTGCCGACCGACTGGAAAGAAGGATACCTCGTCAAGATTCCAAAGAAAGGAGATCTGAGCAAATGTGGAAACTACAGAGGCATTACACTACTGTCAATACCAGGGAAAGTCTTCAACAGATTTTTGCTGAACCGGATGAAAGACACAGTAGACGCCCAACTTCGAGATCAACAAGCTGTATTCCTTAAGGATCGGTCGTGCACAGACCAAATTGCAACACTACGGATCATCGTCGAACAATCAGTTGAGTGGAACTCGTCACTATACATCAACTTCATGGATTATGAAAAGGCATTCGACAGTGTAGATAGGAGGACATTATGGAAACTTCTTCGACACTACGGAGTTCCTGAGAAGATTGTCAATATTATCCGGAACTCATACGACGGACTACAGTGCAAGGTCGTGCATGGAGGACAGCTGACAGATGCATTCCAAGTAAGGACCGGAGTCAGACAAGGCTGTTTACTCTCTCCCTTCCTCTTTCTTCTGGTGGTCGACTGGATTATGAAGACCTCGACATCTGAAGGAAAACACGGAATACAATGGACAGCTCAGAATCAATTAGACGATTTGGACTTCGCAGATGACCTAGCCCTCCTATCGCATACACATGAACAAATGCAGATAAAGACAGCCAGTGTAGCAGCAGTCTCTGCATCAGTAGGCCTCAGCATACACAAAGGGAAAACTAAGGTCCTCAAATTCAAAGCGGAGAACAGCAATCCAATCACTCTTGATGGCGAAACTCTGGAAGATGTAGAGTCCTTCACATACCTGGGAAGCATCATCGATGAACAAGGAGGATTCGATGCAGACGTAAAGGCGAGGATCGGCAAAGCAAGGGTCGCATTCCTACAATTGAGGAACATATGGAACTCAAAACAACTTTCAACCAGTATCAAAGTGAAAATCTTCAATACGAACGTCAAGGCAGTTCTACTGTATGGAGCTGAAACTTGGAGAACTACAACAACCACAATCAAGAAAGTACTAGTATTTATAAATAGCTGTCTACGCAAGATACTTAACATCCATTGACCGGATACCATCAGCAATAGCCTTCTGTGGGAGAGAACAAACCAACTTCCAGCTGACGAAGAAATTAGGAAAAGACGATGGAAATGGATAGGACATACATTACGCAAATCGTCAAACTGCATCACGAGGCAAGCCCTAACTTGGAATCCTGAAGGGAAGCAGAAAAGAGGAAGGCCAAAGAACACATTGCGTCGGATAATGGAAGCAGATATGAAAACGATGAATTACAACTGGACGGAGCTAGAAAGGATTGCCCAGGACAGGGTTGTATGGAGAATGCTGGTGAGCGGCCAATGCTCCTTCACAAGGAGTAACAGGTCTAAGGAAATAAGTAAGTACTGCATCTCTGTGCTAATGTGGTGTGGCAACTCGAACTGATGTACGTACGGACGAAGTTCTACGTTGTGACTGATTGACTGACTGACTATGACGCCTCATGATGAGAGTCGAGTTCCTTCGGAAGTCACGAGGCCCATGCCCCTTCTGACAACCAGAGCAACTATTTATTTAGATACATGGAATACTCGTACAATGTGGGAGACCGGGAGAGTTTTCCGAATTGTTGCAGAAATAAGGAGATACAACCTGGAGGTGCTTGGGGTCAGTGAAACACATTGGACACAGGTTGGACAACAACGAATTGCTTCAGGGGAGCTTCTGCTATACTCCGGCCATGATGAAGAAAATGCTCCACAAGCACAAGGAGTTGCATTGATGCTGTCCAAGGAAGCACAAAATGTACTTGTGGGATGGGAATCTCATGGACCAAGGATCATCAAAGCCTCCTTCAGAACAAAGAAAGAGGTCATTACAATGAACGTCATCCGACGCTACGATTGGCTGAAGTCAATTGTCGAGAAGTGCCCAACAAAGAAGTTGACCATTCTGATGGGAGATCTAAATGCCAAGGTTGGAATGGCTAACACCGGATATGAAGACATCATGGGATGACATGAACTAGGAGAAAGGAACAAAAATGGTGAGAGATTTGCAAACTTATGTGCCTTCAATAAACTGGTCATATGCGGCACTATATTCCCACACAAATGCATACACAAAACCACATGGACTTCACTGGCTCACACTACGCAGAACCGAATCGACCATATCTGCATCGACAGAAAGTTCAGGAGGACGATGGAGGATGTGAGAACCAAGAGAGGAGGTGATGTAACATCAAATCATCACTTGCTGGTCGCCAAAATGAAATTGAAACTTAAGAAGCACTGGACAGCGGGGCGGACAACATCACAGGATTCTAGTACGGGTTTTCTTTGGGATACTGACAAACTCAACAAATTCAAGATAGCCCTCAGCAATAAGTTCTAGGCCTTCCATGATCTATTCAGTGGAGAGGGAACCACTATCGAGAGCAACTGGGAAGTGATAAACGAGGCAATAACATTAACATGTCATGAGGTTCTGGGCCACAAGAAGCACCATCACAAGGAATGAACCACTGTTGATACACTGGATTAGATTCAAGAAAGGAGGAACAGCAAGGCAGCAATCAATACCTGTCGAACAAGAGCAGAGAAAGCCAAGGCACAAGCTGAATACACAGAAGTAAACAAGCAAGTGAAGAGGAGCATCAGAACCGACAAACGCAAATATATGGAAGATTTAGAAATGACGGCAGAAATGGCTGCAAGAGAAGGAAGCACACAGGTAGGTAGAGCACTCCAAAAAACTCTTGAATCGACCTGCCCCACTGAACCCCCCCAACATCGAAGTAGCACCCACGGACCACCCAATCGATGTTGGCCCACCAACAGTCGAAGAGATCAGGATGACTATCAGACAAATCAAGAGCGAAAAAGCATCAGGACCAGACAACATTCCGAAAGAGGCACTGAAAGCAGACGTAGCAGTAACTGCAAAGATATTCCACATTCCCTTCAGTAAGATTTGGGATGAGGAACAAGTACCAACAGACTAAAAAGAAGGACTTCTGGTCAAAACACCAAAGAAAGGCGATCTCAGCAACTGTGATAATTACAGGGGCATCACTCTTCTCTCAATACCGGGAAAAGTCTTCAACAGAGTATTGTTAAACAGAATGAAGGACTCCACAGACACCCAACTTCGTGACTAACAGGCGGGATTCCGTAATGATCGGTCGTGTACAGACCAAATCGCAATTCTACCGATCATCGTGGAACAATCAATTGAATGGAATTCAACACTACATCAACTTCATTGACTACGAAAAAGCATTTGATGGCGTGGACAGGACATCACTATGAAAGCCTCTTCGACACTACGGCGTACCTAAGAAGATAGTCAATATCATGCGGAATTCCTATGATGGATTAAACTGCAAAATCGTGCATGGAGGACAGTTGACAGACTCGTTCGAGGTAAAGACCGTTGTCAAGCAAGGTTGCTTACTCTCATCCATTCTCTTTCTCCTGGTGATCGACTGGATCATGAAGACGTCAACGTTTGAAGGGAAGCGCGGGATACAATGGACATCTAAGATGCAGTTGCATGATCTAGACTTCGCAGACGATCTGGCCCTTCTATCCCAAACGCAACAACAGATGCAGGAGAAGACGAACAGTGTGGCAGCAGCCTCAGCAGCAGTAGGTCTCAACATACACAAAGGAAAAAACAAATATCTCCGTGTTATCTCCCGATAAGCATAATGAATGGTAACTTCTAGGATCCATTTACGCATCAATACTAAACGTATATTTTTATCGTATAATTGTTAAATAACTAAACTATTTATACAGCAGAGGCTCGGATTGGTGTTCTGGACTTAACTGACTGGACTAAACAGGAAGCGAGACCAATCAGGAATTTAGACTGCTCATACGGGTTAACGCGTCATTGATCCGATCGATAAGTCACTGCTCTCTAATTGGCGGTATCATTACTTATCCATTAACAGGTCACACTCAGGCCACAAGTTATAACACTCCGATACAACACAGCATGCAATAATCGAATGACACTTGACGGTGAAGATTTGGTAGATGTAAAAACCTTTACATATCTGGGCAGCATCATTGATGAACATGGTGGATCTGATGCAGATGTGAAGGTACGTTCGGCAAAGCAAGAGCAGCATATTTACAACTGAAGAACATCTGGAACTCAAAACAATTGCCAACCAACACCAAGGTCAGAATTTTCAATATAAATGTCAAGACAGTTCTACTGTATGGGGTGGACACACATTGAGGGAAGCACCCAACTGCGTCACAAGGCAAGCCCACACATGTGATCGTCAAGGCCAAAGGGGAAGACGAAGAGCAAAGAACATATTACGCCGAGAAATGGAGACAGACATGAGACGAATGAACAAAAATTGTATAGAACTGGAAAGGAAGGCCCAGGACAGAGTGCGTTGGAAGATACTGGTCGGCGGCCTATGCTTCATTGAGGGTAACAGGCGTAAGTAAGTTAACGACCTGGGAGCGTGACCACAGAGCCCAAGGGACAAATGCTTGAAGCCGGTCGCGCACGGCCTTTTTGTGGGAAGCTTTTTCGAAAATAGTAACTGTGATGGGTAAAAGTATTTGAATTATTATACGGATTAGGAATCCTCGAAATAGCGTAATTAAGGCCAAATAGAACTAAGTGAACGCAAATAAACATATTGTATTTGGAATTCGAAATCAGGCAGTCACCAAGTACAAATGAATCATTAGTTCATACAAAAACCACGGTAATGCATGGTCGACTTACTCTAATTGCTTGTAATTTCTCACCTTCCGTCTGACCCTAAGGTTGTGTAAAGGCATAAGCATATGGTATGTATATGGGATGACCCAGTCTGTGTTTGGGAATATCTTTTGATTTAAAACTTACATGACGAGGAGCCCCCATGGTGGGAATTTAGAAGTGAAAAAATCTGGAAATTAAAATTTCACTCAATAAAAATAACATCAGATGGTGAGTAAGTATTGCGATTTTCTATAGCTTTGAATATCTTTTCCAACATGAGGTTGATTTGTTGAACGGTAAATTAGAAAATACTATTAGAAAAGAGATAAATCTGAGTAAATTATATAAATACGAGAGGTTTCAAAAATGTGGAAAATAGTTTCTGATATGTTTTTTAGATATAAATAGTTCGGGATAGGTGGATCATGAGTAACAGGGAAATAGTGAACACAATTTTCACCTTATTTCGAACTCCTCATCTGAATGTACCTTGATCTCAGTGTTGATGTTCACATTACCACTCGAACCTTTCGTTTCAAATGTCAGCGGATTACCTACTGAGCTTCTTACTGCGTTTGAGTCTCAGTGCGAATACCTACACCGCGGTGCTGACCCATCCAACTAACGAGTTCAAAATAGGACTAAAGGAGTATTATGAATTTCAGTACCAGGCGAAATCCATCTGATCCATAAACATTGTAACAAAATGGCTATATCGAAGCTATTTGCACAGGATGCATATATACCAACAAAGGCTGTTTAAATTCACTCCTGAATATCAAACAACGGGATAATTCAAATCCTTACTACTAATAATAACATAAATAAACAAGGTTTAAACCTTTTGATGCTGATGGTTATAGAAAAGACGTTTTGTCATATCACAAACTGATCCTAACGAGACCGTTAATGAAACCTGAGAGCATTGGACTGCCGTTTCCTCCTGGTATGGGACTCTCCAGCAGTGCCTATCCACGACTCGGCGTCGGGGATCGGACCGTGGGTCTTCAGTCCCGCGCCTGATGTTAGATATGTACATTGTTAGATGCCACCTCAGTGGTCTATAGGTCGTGTTAGCGCGCAATACGGAAGTTCCTGGGTATGATTTCCTGATGCAGGGTCGCAGCTGCGCACTGTTAGGCGGTCCCATACTAGAGTGAAACGGCAGTTCACTCTTTCTCAGGTTTCAATGGTGGTCTAGTTAGATCAGTTCGCGATTTAAATTATGAAAATTCTACAATCTTCACAGATCCCTCCACACTAATTTAATAAGATTTCCTTAGAGGTTTGGATTAAAATAATCTTATCGGTTATTTTTTGATGCTTATTGTTTTTTAATATATCCATACGAACCGGTGATAGGTATGGTTGATTGTAACATAAGGTGGGATCTTGTCCTTCTTTGGACAGTGTAAAGTAGTCATATTCCTTTGTACCTTGCTGAGTAGATTGACTCTTCCACATAACTGAATTATAATGAATAATTACCCCAGCTGTTTTGGTGAACGTTTTCCAATTAGAAATTTAATGAATATACGTGACTGATTTCTGCACGTGTTTTCTTTCATTCGTTATCCCAGAATCCCTCCATATTTACAGAAATTTTACGCAAATATCCAACAGTATTCTACCATGGACGAGATGAACTAGATTTATATCGTCAGTGGTGTCGTTTCTACAGTTGCCATTGCATCGTTGTAAAAGATGGTGTAAAGTTGAAGTCAATACCTAACTTTAACACCTCATTATCGACTTCACCAGATGTCAAAACAACAGGTGCGACGACAACAGCAATAAAAAATTGTGATGGTATGTCTTTGCTGAAAAATGTTGGTTATTCTAATTCTATAGCATTAGGTGGTGATCCACAAAGTTTTTCTGATACAGAATTATTATTAGAGGAGACAGTAACCAATGCAGTCGTTGCAGGAATCCCTAAATTAACTGAACCATCGACAGTGTCACGTAGACAACATATGCTAAATCAAACATCATATTATGGTTTCCAAGGTCTTGTTACACAAACAGTCTTGGAAGTACTCCTTAAAGAATATTCTAGTCAATTAAATGATTCACTTGTACATCCTAGTCTACAGCATCACTCTTCTCCGACTTCTGCCGCTTCTTCTTCTTCTTCAACAACAACGTCCAGTACACGTGGAACAATAGCAACAGGTCTAGAGTTGAAATCGTCAATCGACCATGATCAGAGTCACTCACTACTAATACAAGAAACAAGTAATAAATCACATTTATTGTCCTTTATAAGTTCATCACCTGTACCACCATTACTAAGTAATCAAGAATTTGATTTTAAAGTAAGTATTTTTCTACTCTAATTATTGAGTAGTTGTGTTGTTGCTGTAAGTGAGGAAGTAGAAATCTATTCTTCAAAACTATGGTTTATTATAATAGGCGTAGTCAGCTATTTTTCAGTCATTTGCTCAGTTTTGATTACTGTTACAGCTAACTTATTGTTTTGACAACGTCAACTAATTTTGTTCCAATCAACTTTATCTTGGGCTCTCTTTCCCAGTTAGTGTTAGGTGCCATTCATGGTCCTAATGTCCACGTTAAAGTATCACAGCCATGTGTTTTTTACTCTATTTCTTTTCCTTCCTTGTGGATACCAAGTTGCGAATAACCTCAACTTACTAGTCCAGTTCAATAGTTAACGAAAAACCCTCGATTGTTATCATCCTTTGTTATATTTCTCTCTTACAGGTTATGACCCAGCTATTCCTATTGTTTAGTATTCTCGTACACCGATTCACTCGACAAGTCCCCAAATCAGAACACGGTTGAACAGGAAAGAGATTATATTCCAAATAACAAGGTTAGGTGGAAGTAAGAAGCACAATATGGAAAACGTTAGTATATTTATAGTTTTTACATGAAAAGATTCTAGAGTATTCTCCAAGTATCGACTAGTGCTGATTAGATAAGAATTAACCAATCAGCGTGCACCAAAGCAATCGTGCATTGAGCATGCTTTAACCCAGTCTATGTCCCGCTAACATCCTTAAATCGTCTGTTCATTCAATCGAATTTCTATAGGTGAAAATGTATGGAGTTAATTTTCGCAGAAAAATACGACTACTTATTTTGGTAGATTTTTTTAGTCGAATAAGATTGACACGATACTGTAGGAATCTATCATTGAACCAAGAAACTTACGATTTCACAAACACTAGTTACCCATGTAATATTATCAAGTTAAACCAAAGTACACAAACCATATAATGAACTAAACGTTTTACAATAGACTTCATAAACAAAAGTAATTGACCAACTTGTGTTAGTTATTAAAAAAACAAGAGGCGATACTATAATTTATGATCAGTCAGTCAATCAGCTACAGCGTAGAACCAGGCACATATATGGATCAGTCCAAGTTGCTACACCTCATTAGCACAACAACTTACACCTGTTGCTCCCAATGGAGCATAGGCCGCTGACCAGCATTCTCCAACCCACTCTGTCCTGGGCCTTCTTTTCTAGTTCCATCCAATTCTTGTTCATTTTTCTCATGTCTATCTCCATTTCTCGGCGTAATGTGTTCTTTGGTCTTCCTCTTTTCCTTTGGCCTTGAGGATTCCAAGTGAGGGCTTGTCTTGTGACGCAGTTGTGTGCTTTCCTCAATGTGTGTCCTATCCACTCCCAGCGCTTCCTGATTTCTTCCTCCTCTGGGATCTGGTTTATTCTCTCCCACAGTACGTTGTTGCTAATAGTGTCCGGCCAACGGATCTGAAGTATTTTGCGTAGACAATTGTTAATAAACACCTGTATTTTCTGGATGATGGCTTTCGTGGTTCTCCAGGTTTCTGCCCCATACAGTAGAACTGTCTTGACATTTGTATTGAAAATCCTGACCTTGGTGTTGGTTGACAGTTGCTTTGAGTTCCAGATGTTCCTCAGTTGTAAATATGCTGCTCTTGCTTTGCCGATCCGCGCCTTCACATCTGCATCAGATCCAACATGTTCATCAATGATGCTGCCCAAATACGTAAAGGTTTTTACATCTTCCAAATCTTCTCCGTCAATTGTGATTGGATTGGTGCATTCTGTGTTGTATCGGAGAATCCTGCTTTTCCCTTTGTGTATATTGAGACCTACTGCTGCTGAGGCTGCTGCCACACTGTTCGTCTTCTGCATCTGTTGTTGCGTTTGGGATAGAAGTTCAGATCGTCTGCGAAGTCTAGATCATCCAACTGCATCTTAGATGTCCATTAGCACAACAAGACGGACACGAAATTCATAGAGGTAGTTACTTCAATGGTAGTAATATATAAAAGAAACATTGTGTGTAAGGATATAATACAGTAAGAAAGAATTAGTTCGCAGAAAGGTATAAATTAATTTTAATCTCACGCTTTAACTAGAGACGCAATTGTGATCGGTTCTGAGCCATGTCACCAAGAGTTTCCAACTATTGGTTACGATAGTCACGCGGACCCCAACCAAGTAGTCTGCATCTACCAACATTGTTAAGACTAAAAGTTGGTGACTTCAAGCACTGATGCCACGTTTTGGTTTGGCTGCCCCTAACTTTCTTCTAACCATCCCCAACACCGGTTAGCATTGCACGTCGTGTTAATCGGTGTTCAGGCATATGTGACACGCGGACCAACCATCTCAGTCGATGAAAATTCACAACTTCATCAACTGGTTTACCATCATTCCCTAATACCCTACGTCTAACCTCACTATTACTTACCCAGTGATCCCCGCAGATGCAAGCAATATTTCTAAGGCATCCGTGATCAAATACTAGTAGCTTACGAGTGTGTTCTATCCTTAATGGCCATGTTTCGCTGCCGTAAATTAAAACAGGACGAACTGCCGCGCAGTATACTCGTCCTTTAGTTGATAGACGGATATCTCGCTTTCGCCATAGGTTATGTAAGTTGGCAAAAGCCAAACGAGCTTTCTGAATCCGTACAGAGGTTTTAGTCAGTCTCGAACCTATTAGGGCTGATCAGACTTCCAAGACAAGTGAAGTTGTCAACGTATTCGACTACTTCATTCCCTTGCTTTAGATCAGGTGTTGACGCAGGCCAGTCCTGAAGCAACAACTTGCATTTAGAGGGAGAGAAGCGCATCCCAAATATTCTTGCATTGTTCCTCAGTCCTACCAAACGACTTTGCATTTTATCAGCGTCTTCACCGAACAGGACTATGTTATCTGTATATACTAAGTCGATAAGTGGACCTCCTGGAAGGATATCAATACCCGAGAATTCAGTCGACGAGAGCATTATTTCCATTAGTAGGTCTTTGATGAAGTTAAACAGAAATAGAGAAAGTGGACAGCCTTGACGGAAACCACTTGAGGTTGCAAAAGCAGATGACAGTTTGCCATAAGCTCTGACTCGACTGGTAGTGTTCGAGTAAAAAGCCTTCACAAGGTTTATGTACTTCTGAAGTACGCCTTTCAATGACAGACTGCTACAGAATCTCGCGGTCTACCGAGTCAAATGCTGCTTTTAAGTCAAGAAAGACCACTATTGTCAAACGCCTATGAGTATGCCTGTGTTCTTGAACCTGACGAATGGTGAATATGTGGTCAATACAGCCACGACCAGGTCTGAAGCCAGCTTGATTCTCTCGTGTTTGCAGTTCACGAGTCTTTGCAACGCGTCCGATAATTATTGATTCTAGTAATTTAGATGCTATGTTAGTCAAACTAATCCCTTTATGGTTGTCACAAGATGATTATGACCTTCTCTTATATATTGGGATGATAAGTGATTGTGACCAGTCAGATGGGATTTTAGCTAAAATATTAGTCAACCTAATCGCTAAAATTGGACCACCATCCTTAAAGACCTCTGAAGCCAATCCATCTGGACCAGCTGCCCTTCCTCGTTTCAGATTAACTATAGCCTTTTGAACTTCAGCTACAGTCGGGGACCTACTTCAATGTTCCATTCACACTGTCTGGAAATGGAGGGTAGTTGTATAGTAGCTGAAAGCCAGCGCAACTGTTCTCTAAAATGTTCCACCCATCGTTCTAAACGTCTGGACTGGGAGTAGATAGGAATGTCGTCCTTTTCCGAGATAGTCTCACTTACACTTGAATTTTTAGTTCCAGTTTTTTTTGTTAGTCTAAAAAGCTCTCTGATGTTACCTACAGCCACTACCTTTTCCATCTTTTTTGCTTTTGTTGCTGACCACTTCTCACGGTCGTTCTTTAGACTGTTGGTCAACCTTGATCTGATTTGCTTTCGCTCTTCATCGTGTTCAGAGCCTGACGGGACGAGTTTACGAGAATCTATCAGTACAATGGACCTTGAAGAAATCCATTGGTTCTTTTAACCCTGTGGTTTAAGTACTAATAGATGTCACTGCTTTTTCCACAGCTGTTTGTATATCTTTCCAATCAACATCTGGGTCAGCCTCGTTTTCAGAACTACCTAAGTGTGACCTCAGTTGTTCCTGGAATCTACATTTGGTTTTCTCGCTACTCAATTCACTTCTAATGGCTCATTTTAGTGTTGCTTTTTTGCGTCCAGTGAGGCGCAAGCAGATGCGTGCTCGTATTAGAGCATAGTCGGAGTCTAAGCAGGTATTTCAAAATGAGCGAAAATCTTCCATCGATCCATTTAGCCGAACAGCACATAAACGACTGTTAACGGGGCCCCACTCTAACAGCGCTTGTTCCGCCCCCATGCTTAGTGCTATGCCCACACCTGCCAGTCCACAAGAACTGGTCATCGGGTCTCCAGATACACGGAGGGTTTAACTCGTCGGCTCTCCCTTTTGCCGAGGTGAGGTCAAGTGAATGACCACACTGAGATCTTGTATGCGTGCTTCGGAGACACAGCATAAATCAATGGTACGAGATTCTAGGGTTCTAGCCAAGGAGGGCCGCTGACCGATTTGACATAGTGTGCGTGAGTTGAAGGCTGAAATGTGTAGTTTGGAGCGTGGTTTCAATAGACCTGGGAATGTTTTGCGCACTAGAATCGTTGGTTATGGTGACACTTGAGGAAGAAGCCGATAAAGGAAGTTTAGAGTTGAAAGTCGATGTAGGTGGACGCTAATTTGCATTAAACAGATATCTATACTAGATACCCTCCCAGTGTCTATTCTACAGGAATTCAACACAACTCAGAATACTAACACGTGACTAATCTGACTAGAACGTAAGTACATTTCTGCACCAAAAACCGACAACAATCACAGTAATGATATGGGTAGGAGAATATATAACTCATCTAACGCCTATCAGACCATCGACAAGTCTGATTAATTAAACCAATCATTATGATTCTCTCCCACATCAGTTTTGTTACACGTACTGTTTAGTACTGTTATTGTATTGTTGCACATCGTTGTTGTATATATATTTCAAGAGATTGTTTATTGGTAATTGAAGGACGACATAATGTAGAGGATTAAAATTTTGAGGTTATCAACAGTGATTTCTCTGACCTAAGGATTCACAGCAGCTTTCAGTAGTCCCCATCACCATTGTTCACACGAGGAGATTGTCTGCCTCTGATAAAAAAACATAACATTAACGCTGAATTCCCACTGAATATGTATGAAAACTATCAAACAGTTAGTAGAGGCATCATCTTTACAAATAATTAATCACTGAGTAGTAGTTGCCATTGTCTTGTATGTCAAATTTTAGTACTGATTGGATTCTATCGACCAAGCTACATTCTGGACACTATTTTCGGCTACTTGATGTCCCATGCACTATATTGAAACGTCAGATGGCGTTTGGAGGTAGTCGACAAAAATCCTGCTCGACCTAGGTTTCGTACTTCTTAACACTCGTCGATAAGGTGTGTCTGCAACCTTAAGGGAACTTATGCTTGTCAGAGTATTGGATCATATGACAGTCAGAAGAGACGTCGCCATCAAACAATCTGGACTATGAGCAGTACTGGCTGGTCAATAGAGTTAGATCAACACTAAGACGGACTTTTGATGGAGTTTTGTTCTCTGAGCTATTTGGTTTGGTCGTGGAGCTTTCATCGTTCTTCTGAACAACATCATCAGCACAAACTTCAGACAGAAGTGAAGTGTTCGAACTTCTCAACATACGACGCAGTTTGTCCTGTAGACTTCGATCTTGATTGGCTATTGTTGACTATTAACCTGTCATTGTGTACTTCTTTGTTTGGATTATATTTTCTGTTGATTTGATCCTCGGTCCTATATTTGTCCACGGTTCTTCTGATTGGTTGATAGATTGTATCGATTTTAATTTGTTTGTTAATTGCTGATTGACCTGAGTGCCAAGCTTTGGAAAATTCTCTGGTGTTTTTAGAATTTCCTATATCCAAGATCTCAGGATTTTTTTGGTCGGATGTGTATCCACAGTTGATTGATATAAGCGAGAATACTTCATGGCATTTGACCACTAATCGGTGTTCGTGCAGGCAAAGTTGAAGTGGCCATTTACTTTGTCCAATGTAGTGTTCCTCTCAGTTGGGACAATTTATATTGTAGATGATATTCGATTTTTCTTTTGTCATTTCGTTCTTTGGACTTAGTATACACGATATCGGTCACTGCTCAGTGATTAAATAATTCTAACCACTTCTCAATCCTAAAGAACGTCAGTCTCAGCCCAAATAATTCAGTGATAACGTCTCTTTTGACTGTGGAGCTGGGTGACATGGTATCTAATCATCCGAGGAGTATCTGTTGTAGGATATAATTTATCCTACAGATATACGACTAGAACTGTAAACGCGATACTGGCGATCCCAGAGTCTATGTGAAAGCTGTAGTCAGAACAAGGGCAACTTGACTTTCAACTTTATTTCTAAACATAAAAACAACTAGATTAGTACAGTAATTAAAGGAATTTTAGTCATCAAGTGGAACGCACAACCATACCGACCAGTACTGCGTGTTTTATCGAAATGAGTAAAAAATTATGAGTCACACCAATACTAAAATAATGTCCTTCAATTTGCAGGTCAAATGCAACAGGGACAGTCGACAGACACATCCGACCGGATTGACGTGGTGGGCGCTTAAACAATGACTTGACTTCGCTACTGCCGCGCTCAAATAATCGGCCTATTCCAATAGGCACAGGTTCCGTATATCACTGCTGATCTCTTCACTTGCTGTCTTCAGCCAAACTGTTCTGACTCGTCCATCTGGACCTGTCTAACTATAGCTTTCAGCCACAGATTTCTCTGCAAGCCAGTATTGTTTATTGAAACTAAATCTCCAGGTTGTAGATTTCTTCTCATGTCGCTTGAAGGGTTGGTAGGTACTCTTGTAACCATCCGTTCAAGAATAGGTTGGCTAGTTGTTGTGCTTCCTTCCATCTGTTATGTAAGCACGTTTTACTCATCTGCGCTTCATCGAATGATACACCTCTATGAACTAACAATAACTTATTTGATGCGGGTATATCCAGGTTATCACGGTCATTAACTAGCTCTACGAGTGGTTGATTGCTTAGTATTCCTTCAGCCTCTATTAAAAACGTCTCCAAAGTCTCGTCCGTCAATACCTTCTAAAACAGTAGCGATCGTTGAATCCTTCCTATCGACTTTATTATGCATTCATATACACTGCCTCAATGACTAGCTCTAGGAATGTTAAAATGCCATCCACAACCTCTTTCTGAAAGGGCATTTGCAATCTTATTTTGGTCCCAACTACACGTAATCTAAGACTAGCATTAGCTCGTTTAAAGCTACCAGATGCACCCTTACTCTTATTATCAACTCGTACAAAGGCGCCTTTCTCAACATCATGTACGATATCACGGTGAATATGTGCTGCTGCTTCTTCAGGGTCTTAGTTACTGGCTTCTTCGGTGTCTTGACTTTCGGTTCAGTGACCTTTTCATTAGGCTTTTTGGAGTTGATTTGGGTTTAACAGCAGAAGGCATTATAGTTTTCGGTTTAGCAACCTTGGGTTTAACGTCAACAATTTTCTTTTCTGCTACTTGTCTTTGTACACGTTTAACACTTTCCTCAGTACAGAGTTCGGTATTGATGTGGACAATACTATTACTATCTCTCTGCTCTTCCGGCTTCCTGTGTAACAAGGTATGGCGTCTCCAGCCACATCCTTCGACGGCACATGACCTCGGTGCTCGACAGTTTCTTGCTATGTGCTTTGCCTTCAAACAGACACAACTTCTTTAGTACAAATTCTATCTTTTCATTAATATCCTTATCTCTAAACCTTCCGCATTGGTCTAAGGGGTAGTTTTCATTACATAATAAACATGGGAACCCAAGAGTGCTTGGTCTTACGTGTGGAGGTAGTCCTCTTAGTAATGTGTAACAGTGGGCAACACGCCAGTGTTCTAGACAAAATTAAAGATAGATTCAAAATTGTCTCTATATGACCTCTAATATTTCAAGAGAAAACCGTCTTTGGAGTTGTAGAAATTATTATTAAGCTTTCAATAATAAAGCTTCTCATTCAATCATTGTCTTCTTCCTCAGCGCTAGAGGTTTGTCAAACGATAGAAACGTGACTTAATCGAACTCTCGAGTATAATTGATTGCTATCTATGAGAAATGATTTGACAAACATTTTAGTAATGTACTATGCTTTATTTCTATTCTGATTAAAATATAACAAGCGCTTAACCTTTAAACCACTGAGTCAGGATCCAGTATTTTATATCCCTTCCTTCAATCGATTCACAATATTGTACGACCATCTTCCATTTGCATAAGCAGGTTACTAATACCTGTCCTATAAATAGATTTTGTCTGAGATAAGGTTGTGGTTGGATGTAGTCAACAGGAGACCCTGGACCCAGATTTTGTGCTATTTGGCACTCATCAGCAAAGTGTGCCTGTAGTCTTGAGGGAACTGGTTCTCCATGACAGATGTCGAGTCACCTAGACTAGTGGCTACATTGCGACTTGGTCGATAGTATTCGATATGCACTAAAAAGGACTTGACACATATGACATTGATCACCACTGAGTGATCAATTTATTGTGGATACATCTCAGCCCTACAGGAGGTCACTCGCGGCCTAGATAGCCTAGTGGTAACGTCTCTGACCTGCAACCACCACCCAGTGATCAATCATTTGTGAATAGATTTTGTCTTCATATTTCGATGTATATTCATAATTCCAGCCAAGATGAAATTGATAATTCATTGGATAATAATTTTTGTTCTGTTCTAGCGTCGATTAGAATTACATCGACGTCGCGGACGTTTGTGGGCACATTTACGTCGAAATAAAGAAGAGGCTAGACGTTGGACACGTCTAGTTGAAATGTTTGTAACTAATGGTCTAGAAATAATGGATCCACAACCAATTTATCCAGCATTAGCATCTCTTACGGGATCGAGAACACAATTTTTGATAAAAGAAAAAAAGGTTTTTGATGTATTTTTCTCACTCTGTGATGTGATATCAAGAAAGCCCCATTTTTGTGTTGTATCGATGCTCATGTGGTAGGGCCGCTATTATAGGAGTAGTTATATGTTATATAGTTCGATTATTGATTTATTCGCCTAGGTTGAATGTTAGACTTACTTACTTTTTCTGACAAGTAACTCAATGACATTGAGATAGCGGCTGAAGTACATACTTAACACCGATTAACCCAGGAAACAGTTTCCCACACTCACCTACTCAAAGACCAGAACAGAACAACACAACAGGTAGAAAAACCTCTGCAGTACCACACAATTCAGTTCGTGACTCAGAATTCATGTGATTATATAGATTAGTTATCTGACAGCGCATCAGCATAAATAAGAAATTATAGTACGAACGAAACTATATTATACGTGGAAAAGAGAATACGTAATCGATTCGTAATTACCTCCGGAAAATTCCCATTATATTAAAAACGCAGTTGTATGGACGAAGAATATTCTTTTCAATAATTTCTCATCAGGTTCTACAATTATAAATCCAAATTAATAATCCATAAAATTGACCAGATTTAAGACAGAGTACGCCATTTGGAAATTGTAATATGTGAATTAAGAATTATTGTTTGTTATATCAAATCAAATCGTTAATGTTGGGGCTGACTAATCGTAATTAATTAATAATAACTTGAGGGAGTCAAAACTGAACAATAGTACACGACAGAACAATACATCCATATGTTATCTTCCTCTCAGTCTTGAATTCCAATTTCTATCCATGTATGCTTTTCCATTCAGGTTTTTCGAACCTTACTCTTAAGACTTAGTCTTTCTTCTAATTTTTGCTACTAGATTATTTCGATCTAATTTGCTGTTTTTATTTTGTGGTGCTATTCAGGTAATGTCAGTTCGGGCGAAAGAACATCTGTATCATATTTTATGTTGATTATATATATACTCGGCTTCCGACTATACTGTTTACTTTACTTAAAGGCTACTCTCAAAATTTTTCTTTAGTTTTACTCATATAGAGAAGACTACTTCCACATGAGCTACAAATTTTCCTCATCATTTAAAAAAGAAATTTATCACACTCTTCCTTCTTTCTTTGCTGATATTTTCTAGGTCATATTTGGTCGTAATTCATTCGTTTATCAACCGCATATCGATTTATCAATGGAAGGTATTGCCAGTGGACGGATATCACGTTGTCATGGTCAAATACGCTTAAGTAAAGATGGTATATTTTGGTTAACTAATTTTTCATCTCATACTGTGTATGTTGATGGTAACCCGATACTGACAGGTGAGTACTTGACGGTAATAATGTTTTTCTTTTCACTTTCTGTATTTATGAATTTATTATGCGTGTGTATAGACAGATTGTGATTCTGACGTTAAAAATTGTCATCGTGTAAATTAGAACATGAATAGGAGGGCAATATTGTTTTCAAATGAGTTCTTCGTCAGGTTTTACTCTCATATATACCGATATAAAAATAAAAAAGAAATATTTTGTTTTCACGATATAAACGATAGTACGACTAGCGATCAAGGTTTTGCTAATACGATACTGGATACTAGATCGATATGATACAAAACAGATTGAACCACGTTTTACCAGGTACATGATTCACAACCAAAATAAGAGAACCAGAGCATAGATTAGACAATACTTTATTCAACACAATTACAAAGCGGTCTACACTTATTGAGTTCAGAACAGAAATCATTAATAGGAAGGAAAATCACCAAGTGTAAGCCGAGTATCTGTTTGCCTGCGCTCAGTGACCAATCATATCTTACTTCCACTAGCCATACACCATATATAAAAATATTTTTATGGGCATAAATGAAGAAGCATTGAATTGATCACGGCAGTTTACGGATAGATAGTAGCTACGACGCACGTTGCGTAACCAAACGTAGTCATTAAGAAATACAAATACGGATCGTAAGGTAGTGTTAGAACTAATACTTGAGTTAGTGTTTCAACATAGGAAAGAGGTCAGAGACTTGGGAAAACAAACGTTAACAAATTAGTGTGAAACTCAATAAATGTATTCACTATATAAAGAGAGAGGAGCATTTTTAGTTCACATTTGTACGTAACGAGCCATCTTTTCCGTTTATTTTCTAGGTGAAATGTAATTCATTGTCACATTTATAAAAGTAAAAGTGATTGTCAAGTGTACTACACCATAAAACTAACTTCATATTGATAGTGATGATAGTTCATGTACGGTTCTTTTCTCTTCATCTGAGTGACTCATCAATCACAACTTTGTATCAATGTTCTCTCGTCACGTAAACTATCTGTAACCTACCCAGTAATCATACTTGTTTCTCAAGGAAAGTGAAAATAGGAGGAAACAATCACTCAAGTCGAAGAATTAGAATTAATAGGCAATTTAAAACGTCGGTGAAGGCTCTGACAAGATAAAAGTCGTCTGATCACATTGAGAAACAATGCGGACTTGTTTGGGATGCGATTCTCTCCCTCTAAACACAAAGTGTTACTTCACTGTCAGCACGCGAATTAATGATAGGAAGGGAAGTAGTTGAAAGTATCGAATACTTAACTTAACTTGAGTCCTGATAATCTGATGTTTGACAAAATCTTGGCACGAATTCAGAAAATCCGTTGACTTTTTTCAACTTCGATCACCTGTGGCATAGGCGAGATTATCCACTTCTCAAATGATGGGCGACTTCATTACTCAGCATTTTGCTCAGTCCTACTTTACGAGTCTGAAACATGGTGATTAAGAATAGAGGGTATTTGTGGGATACTAGTACCCAATCATAGGTGTTTTCAAAGTAATACTCATATAATTTAGGACTATAGAGTTAGCGATTCTAAGCTTAGACTCACAGTACTCGGTATGTCAGGTCGACTGACGGGGTAGTGAATACTTGGGGTTAGGATATATACAACTCATGGACAACTAAAGGAAGATGCGCAAATATTGTGTTTAATGTATGCTTTTCATATTTTACTTTGCCATTGTGTGATTTCACGTTAAACAATAAATTGGTTATCCCGACTAATTCTTTGTTCACTTCACAACAACATTACGATCTCCATTTTCTGTATTCTGGATTTGAGGAGATTGTAGGATCTTAACTTATGTCATGAACATTTCTTATGTTGATCACCGTTGGATGCCGGGTGATTCGTCTAGAGGTTTCGTGTTAGCACGCAAGAACTGGGGTTCATGGTTCGACCACCGGATACGGGTTCATGGATGCGAACTACTACCTGAGCGAAATAGCTATGCAGTGCTTCCTGGTTTCAGTGGATGCGTAAATTAAGTCGGTTCGTGATATCAATATTGTTAGTCCGTGCTTATTTCTGTGTTTATGCGGAATCTGGGACGGCCATTCCATCTGTTTATGTGGTCTCAGTAACCTGGTTGATAACGCTTTAGACATTTGAAGCGGAAGGTATTTAGTTTGACTCCTAAAGTGAACAACGACTCTTCGATACAGGCACATCCAGGTGACGAGTCTCAAGTAGGACGAAATGCGAGTTCACAATTTCATTGGTAGCCACATTCTATCAGTTTTATGGATCTGTGCTTTATGTAGTTGAACGTATTCGACATGAATCTCTGAGACATTTTTGTGCTCATTGTCGGGCTTTTTAACAAAGAGCACTTGCTGCAATCTTCACGGAAACTGATATTAATCTATGAGATTCGGACCCATATCTTTAGATGAACATAACACTGGTTACTTGCACTCAGATATCAATCGATTTAAATATGTTTATTTACTCATCTTTGTCTTACATGAGAAGCTTTGTGACGTCATACTACCTTTCTACCCAAACAGAAATTAGTATTGTTCGGGTTTGAACTTATAAGCCTCTGGTTTTGACCCAGATATTTGATCCTTATAAACTCACCTTTTCTACTTACAATGATTTCTTAATTGAGTTATCTGACTTTTATTACCTCTTCACTAACACTTCACATTCCATCTTTTGAATATTAGATTGATGTTTTTGATATCCATATAAGTAGGAGATTGTGTTCCTGATGTTTCGTAGCTTAATGTAAGTCACTTTTTCAAAGTAAATAAGTGACCAAAATGTTTGTATGGTAATATATCATATTGCACTACATAACCCGACCGAAGCTGCTACCTTGACGCGGTGGTCGGGCTTGCCTATCGTGATGACCCAACCGAGCTATATTGGCTGGAACATATGTTCCTGTAGGTTCTACCATGCCAGGCAGGTCGATTGGTGAACGGTAAGACTAAAAGCAGCAACTCAAGGTCTGAGGGCGAAGTCGTACTGCTGACTGTAGAGAGGTGTGACAGCAGTAAGGTGTTTCCCTCGGACAACCAGCATCTGGAGCGATGCTGCCTTCCCACAAGGAGGGGTGGGGTTAGAAAAGGTCGACCCTAAAAATGTCACACCTCACCTTGCCTCACGGATTTCCGTCTCTGGCGGCCCTTTGAAGAATGGAGCTAACACGTCAAAAACCTTCCACAAAAAGGCCGTGCGCGACCGGCCTCAAGCAGTTGTCCCTTGGGCTCTGCGGTCACGCTCCCAGGTCATCAAGACCAACACTAATCCAATTTCCTTTTCAGGTTCCTCAAGAAATACCCTTCGACAGTGTGGGCAGCCAGGAAGTGATATCAGCCCTCATACCCGTAACAGCACACGAGACCAAGGTGGTCACATTCAAATCCTTCCTACACCTCCTAATACCTCTCTTATCTCCATGACTAACCCTCCTCGCACTGCTAGGGCAAACGATTCGAGTACGCGGAACGTTATTCCTGGTCTCCTGAAACCACGCTCTAAACTACATGTAGGAGCTTTTAACGTCCGAACGCTGTGCCAAATAGGACAACAGGCTTCTTTAGCTAGGACTTTAGAATCCCGCGCCATCGATGTGTGCTGCGTCTCCGAAACGCGCATACAGGATCCGAGTAGCGTCATTCATCTGACCTCACCATGCCAAAATAAAGAACCGACTCGATTCACGTTTCGTGTATCCGGAAGCCCGGATTCTGCTTCCCGTGGCCTCGCCGGCGTAGGTGTAGTATTGAGTCCTAGGGCAGAACTAGCTCTCTTAGAGTGGATCCCAGTAGACAGTAGTTTGTGCGCTGCCCGACTGAACGGAACAGTAAGGACCCGAAAAGATAGGACGCTCGTCGTTGCCTCTTCGTCGTCTCTGCCTATTCTCCCACTGACTGCAGCACAGATGATGTAAAAGATGAGTTTTACATAAAGCTTTCTGACCTCCTCCTAAAAGTTAGGCGCTCGGATGTGGTAATAGTGGATGGTGACTTTAATGCTCAAGTAGGTAAACTAAGCGATAGGGAAAGACACCTGGGTGGATCTTATAGTGTTGTGGCTCAAAGAACAGATAATGGCAACCGTCTGTTGCAGCTATGCTTAGATAACCGCCTCTTTCTTGCAAATACTAACTCTAGGCATAAGGAAAAACATCTTTTAACATGACGACCCCCTGATTCGTCCCAACGTTGGACCCAATTAGATAACATCGCTATCAGCCACCTCTGGAGGGGCTCGATAGAAGACTGTCGCTCATTCTGGAGCACATGCTTAGATTCAGATCATGCTCTGGTACGAGCGCGTATCTGTCTGCGTCTTACTGGACGTAGGAATGACGCTTCAATTAAACCTCTTAGGGCCCTACTTAATGATATTCAAGCTAATAGTATATTTCAGGAACACTTAGGACAACAGTTAGGCAGACATGTATGTGATGTCCACCCCGAGGCCGCATGGATTGATATCCGAAATGCTGTGGAAACAGCAATGTTGTCTGCTAGTACGGTAACTTGTAAGGTTAGGGAGAAACACTGGATCTCAACAGCATCTATCGCACTGATAGATGCTCGGAAACTCATTCCACCTGGCTCTGAACATAACGAAGAGCGGAGTCAGCTTAAGCGCAAGCTGACAAGAAGTATACGCAATGATCGTGAACAGTGGTGGGTAGCGAAAGCACGACAGATGGAAAAGGCAGCGGCAATAGGTAATAGCAGACAATTGCTCAGACTTGTTTAGGAAACCGGTATTAGAAAACCGACTGTTAGCGAAACAATCTCAGAGAAAGATGGACATATTATACATTCTCAATCCAGGAGATTGGATCGATGGGCAGACCACTTCAGGGATCAGTTCAACTGGCCTTCAGCCACACTTCGGTTTACCACGCTCTCCAGTCAACTTGAATGGTAAGTTGATGTAAGTCCTCCAACCCTTTACTAAGCTGAGAAATTTATAAGAAATCTGAAGCGTAGAAGAGCAGCGGGCCCTGACAGGTTTACTCCTGAGATTTTTAAGGATGGTGGTTCAGTATTAGCAGCGAGATTGACTGAGGTCTTAGGTAGAATTTGGGAACTGGACGTAATCCCATCTGACTGGACTCAATCACTGATTGTGCCAGTCAATAAGAAAGGACAAAAGTCCTCTTGTGACAATCACACAGGAATCAGTTTAACTAATATAGTGTCTAAAATATTAGCCTCAATAATACTTCGACGCCTAACCAAAGCTCGTGAAGAACAGACTAGAGAAAACCAGGCTGGTTTTCGACCTGGACGTGGTTGTATAGATCAGATATTCACACTACGTCAGGTTCTAAAACATAGACACACATTCAGACGCCCCACAATGGTAGTATTTCTTGACCTTAAGGCAACATTTGACTCTGTTGATTGTAAGGTTCTATGGCAGTGTCTGTGACTGAAAGGAGTACCAATGAAGTACATTAACCTTATAAAGGCTCTCTACTCGAACACAACTGGTAGAGTGAGAGCTTATGGCGAACTGTCATCAGAATTGATCACCTCAAGTGGTGTTCGTCAGGGCTGTCCACTCTCTCCATTCTTGTTCGACTTTGTCGTCGACGTACTTTTAGAGGTAACACTTTCCTCGTCTAGATTTCCAGTGGTTGAACTTCTACCGGGAGGTTCACTTGTTGACTTAAAATATGCTGATGACATAGTTTTATTTGGTGAAGAAGCTGACAAAATGCAGAGTCTTCTGACCACTCTAAACAACAAAGCAAGCATGTTTGGGACTTACATTAAGTTACGAAACGTCAGAAATACGATTTTCTACTCATTGGGATATCAGAAAAGTAGATTTATTGTTAATATTCTTCCCAATGGTCAATTTCTTTAAAACTATCAAATCCTACCTTGGCATTGATCCTATCGTTTGGTGTTTATCCGTTCATGCGCTATATCACTATTAACATTCATACGCAATTAGCCGTTACTCATAATCGTGCAAATAAGTAGTGATTTCTTTTAGTTCCAGAATTGAATCTTTTTTCTTCTACTTGTTTAGAGCAATTAGTAACACTCATTTTCAGCGTAAGAGTGTTTTTTCCGTAGGTTTCATACTTGTAATTTGTTTTGCATGATACTACTTTCTTATTTACATAGCATTCCATTGTGATATATAGTATCTTTACAAATTAGAGATAAATACTAATTTACATTCTGATACAATGTACACATAATTTAGCCATTAAACAACAAATAATAGTTTTACGTTCCATATTTAAAAATTGTTTATTTTTGCATCTGTTTGTGTCAGTAGAGTTTATGTGAGGAAGCTCAATATCACACATCCTACACAGCTGATTGAGCTTGAAATATACAGTTCATAGTACTTGTTTGTTTGTGCGTGGAAATCCTGGCAGTACATTTGGAGGTGATGCATACTTAAAACACCGACTCGTTCGATATGGCATTGTTACGTTTTATTGAGAGAATAAGGAT